CGCCCCCCAGCGCTGGGCCGCGGGGCTCCCCTGGAGGCCCCTCCCGCGGCCCAGGATGGTGGCGGGCCACCCGGGAGGCGAGGGCGAGCGTGGCGGGGTCGGTGCGCGTCCTCCGCAGCTGGGCGGTGTGGGCGTGTCCCCGCGGAGGGCGAGTCGGGCCCTCGGGGAGACGTGGGGACGGCGACCAGAAGGCGGGCGGGGGGCCTCCCCGTTGCCCCCGGAGAGCGGGCGAGCGCCTTCCCGGGCAGGGGAGCCCGCGACTGGGAGAGTGCTGCGGCGTCAGGCCAGGACGGGAGAACGGCACGCGTCCCGAGCGCGTCCGTGGGGTAGCCTCCTAACTCCTCTCGAGTCGGTTCCCGTGGGAGCAGGCGGGCCTGCTGGGACACCCCACAAGGCAACCCCCTTCTGTCTCCCAGTGTGACCCTCCTCGGCCATATATTCTTTGGTTCTGACTTACTTTCCTCTTTGGGCGAAGCTAAGGAGAGATGTCTGGGGAATCATTTTTTAAAAGACATCGTGAACCTGAAAATGACTTAATGTTGCCCTCACCCCTAGTGTGCAGTTACCCTGGGCACGGAATTCTAGGTTAGTGACCACATCCTTAGACGGAAGGCATGGTTTCCTGTCTCCTCCCGCCCAGGAGTGCTGGTAAACTGAGAGCCATCCTCATTTCAAATCCTTTACCCACATTTCTAATCCTTTCCTCTCTGAAGTTTTCAGGATCTCCTTTTGAAATTTCACAATGTGGTGCCTCCACGTGCCTGGGTTTTCACCCACTGTGTTTGGCAGCCAAAGTGGGGGTGGCCCAACCATTTGCAAACTCCTGTCCTTCAGTCCTGGGAAATGATTTCATTGATTATTTCACCCATCAAATACTTACCAATGACACCTCCTCAGTCGCTGTTACCTCTAGCTAAAATTCCTATTTCAGGATGTCAGACCTTCAGTACTGGCCCGTGAGTGCCCAAATGCATTCTCTCCTGTTTCCCGTCTTAACCTCTTTGGTCTGCTTTCCGAGGGATTTCTTCCATGAGGCTTTTCTTTCTGCTGCCCTTGTTTAATTTTCAAGAGCTCTTGCTTCTTCAAAACTTTTTTTTAGTAAGAGAAACACTCTGTTTTGCTTCCTGGAAGGTACGACCTCTTCATCTGAGGATATAATAAGACACTGAAGTGTGATTCTCTGCTTACTGTTTGCTCCACATTGTCTTTCTCCTTGTTCCTTCAGCCCTGTCTTCCAGGAAGAAGCCTCCAAGATGGCGAGTAGTTTGTCGTCTGCTCATGATAAAGAATGATAGACCAGAGGACTGACTGGAAAAGTTAGGTTTGTGAGTGGGACTCATCAAACTTTAGCTTGACTCTGGGGTGTGCTGGTGGTCTGTTAGTTGTGGGACCCCTGTCGCTCTCGCTAGGTAGGTCCTTCCTCTTGGGCTAGTCAGGCTTCACATGAAGAGTCTTCCAGTCTCCTGAAGTACATGGGCCTGGCTGCCCCTAGTTTAGGAGGCAAATAGTGGCTGGGAGTGGGGAAGGTCAGCATTTTCTGGGTGTGGTAGACCTCCACTGTGCCTGCTGTCCTCCTGGAATCCCTCTGTGCAGAGGGATAAAATTCCAGGCTGCTGCCAGGATGGCAAATGGCAGTCAATTGCCACTGCCCGAGCTGTGCAGAGAGGCACTGTGTTACAGCACCCATTTAAATCAAGGTGCTGAGCATTAGTCTCTGAGTGACACAGTTAGAAATCTAGCCTCTGAGTTCGGTGGGGGAGGCAGAAAATAGACATGTAAATATATGATAGTTTCTCCAGTGAAATATGCATGCAAGGGGCACTGCACTTTTCAGAGTGAAACTCACATGGCCGGAGGCAGTGAGGACCTAAACTCGGAGGCCACCAGCAAGAGCTGAGGGCACACGAGCTTTTCTTGGTGCCATAGGGCCACCATGGCGATCAAGGCCACAACTACTCAGTGACACTTGACTTAACCAAATCAGGTTAATTTGTGTCAGCAGCCTCTTTGATTAGAACTCACCCGTTTAGTGTACAATTCACTGATTTACAGTATGTTTACAGAGCTGTGCAGTCATCACTGCCATCGTTTAGAGCATTTGCATCACCCCAGAAAGAAGCCCCTCCCCTTTAGCAGTACCCCATGCCCCTTTCTGCGACCCCTGCCAACAATTAATCTATTTTGTCTCTATGGGTTTGTCTATTCTGGATGTTTCATATAAATGGAGTCATACGGCCTTTGGTCTGGCTTCTTTTATGCAGCTTAATGTGTTCAAGATTCACCCATGTTGTGGCATGTATAGATATGCTTCATTTTTGTCAAATAATATTCCATATATTCTAATGCATTCTCATATATCCATTGCATGGACATATCACATTTTGTTCAAGCATTCATGAGTTCATGGACATTTAGGTCTTTTCCTGCTTTTTGGCTATCATAAATAATGCTATGAACATTAATATACAAGCTTTTGTGTAGACCTGTTTTTATTTATGTTGGGGATATACCTAGGGGTGGAACTGCTGGGTCATATAGTGACTGTTGTCCTTTTGAGGAACCACCAGACTGTTTTCCAAAGTGACTGCATCATTTTACATTCCTACCGGCAGTTAAGAGTTCCAGTTTCCCTGTATCCTCGCCAACTTACCATTTACTTTTATTACAGCCATCCTAGTAGGTATGCAGTGGTATCTCATGGTGGTTTTGTTTCACTAAGGACTAATGTTGAATACCTTTTCATGTGTCTATCAGCCATTTGTGTATCTTTGTTGGAGAAATGTCTGTTCCATCAGTCCTTTGTGCACTTTTAATTGGTTTGTTTTTTACACATTCTAGACACCAGACCCTTGTAAGATATGTAGCTTACAAAAATTTTCTCTCCTTCTGTGGGTTCACTTTCTTCATGAAGTCCTTTGGAATACAAGTTTTTTATTTTGATGAAGCCCAACTCACATACTTTTTTTTTGTCACTTGTGCTTTTGTCCCCAAATAACTTCATGGAGGACAGCAGCTACTTGACCTCAACATCAGCCCTAAGGTGTTAGAAGAAAACTTCCTTTAGGTTGGAACCATCTCACTTTGGATACCTACCACAACCGTGGGGCCCACACTAACAGGGGATCCCGTAGTAAAGGGCTGCTGTTTGTTTCTGTGGGCACAAAAGTGTCTTTACCCTCAGCCTTGAAATAGTTTTGCTGAGCATTCAATTCTGGTTTGAATTTTACTATTTCAGTGTTGTTTTTCATTTGTAAGTGATCTTTTATCTCCCTCCCATTTGCAGAATCTGGGCATACACATGGAGTCCTGGTAATACATCTAAACGTTTATAAGTTATAAACCAAAATAATTCAAATAAATTTCATTAATTTTATGATTAAATCCTTTTATAAAAAAACATCTATTCATTATCTAGCAATCAATAGCTATCTAGTTACCAATGTAAATAAAATAATCAGTATTGTGCTTCATGCATATTAAGTCTAGACCTATAAATGCATAAATAAATTCAAAGTGGTGTCAAGTTTTGATGTGTTCCTCACCTTGCCCAACTGTCGTGAATAATGCACGCCTCAGGAGAGCTCTGGCCCATGAAGTGGGGCAGAAGAGAAACAAGGTAACGGAGGTTGGCCCTGCTGGGAAGCTGCTAAGGCAAAACTCACATTCTGTCTCTGAAAGTGGAGGATTTTACCAATAATTCGTCTTCTACTTATCTATAAACAGCTACTTTTGCTCAACTACTTTCCACAATGCAAACCGCTATTTATCTGATTTATCGTCGCTATTGACCGACACAGTCGCCTTCTGTCGACTGGAGTCGGGGAGTTTTCCTGAGCCCGAAACTGCCAGCGGATTCCAGGGCCACAGGTGTGCCCGCCGGCAGTGCGCTCCGGGGCCCGGTCTCTCCCACACGCTGGTCTGGGTGCCCAACGGCCACCGAGTCCAGCTCTCAGTCCGGGCCTCGGGGGACCCCCGTGTGGCTCAAGGTCGGTCACCTGTGCAGTGGGGGCACCGTGCCAGCCCGCAGAGACCGCGGAAAAGCGGCGGGAAGGGCCGCCGGCCAAGGCCAAGCTGACGCCGCCCCGGTCGAGAGCAGCGCGGCGGGGCGGGCTCTCCCGAGGCTCCTTCCGGCAACGTCGGGCGTCTCCACGCTGCCGGCCCTCCGCCGCCCCCTGACCCTCGTCCCCTTCCCTCAGGAAGCCGAGGGTCCCCGGGCCAGGGAGCCCCCGAGGCTCAGGCAGCGGGCCTCCAGGCGGAGGGGGCGCGGCCGTCGGGTGGGTCGGCCCTCGGCGGGCCCGCCCTCACCTCTTGGGGCTTGGGGTTCGGCGCCAGCCTGCGCGGACCAGGAAGGACGTTGGGGCGACACAGCCCCCGCGCTGCCGGCCCTCCGCCACCCCTCTGCCTCGTCCCCTACACCCGCCCTCCTCCCACACATGGTCCGCGGAGGACCGTCACGTCCGCTTCCGCCGCTCAGGTTCGTCTCGCGAGAGCCGCGCTGCCTCGCGAGGCCAGCCCATGGGCGGGGCGCGCCCTGAACTTGACCTCAACATCAGCCCTAAGGTGTTAGAAGAAAACTTCCTTTAGGTTGGAACCATCTCACTTTGGATACCTACCACAACCGTGGGGCCCACACTAACAGGGGATCCCGTAGTAAAGGGCTGCTGTTTGTTTCTGTGGGCACTAAAGTGTCTTTACCCTCAGCCTTGAAATAGTTTTGCTGAGCATTCAATTCTGGTTTGAATTTTACTATTTCAGTGTTGTTTTTCATTTGTAAGTGATCTTTTATCTCCCTCCCATTTGCAGAATCTGGGCATACACATGGAGTCCTGGTAATACATCTAAACGTTTATAAGTTATAAACCAAAATAATTCAAATAAATTTCATTAATTTTATGATTAAATCCTTTTATAAAAAAACATCTATTCATTATCTAGCAATCAATAGCTATCTAGTTACCAATGTAAATAAAATAATCAGTATTGTGCTTCATGCATATTAAGTCTAGACCTATAAATGCATAAATAAATTCAAAGTGGTGTCAAGTTTTGATGTGTTCCTCACCTTGCCCAACTGTCGTGAATAATGCACGCCTCAGGAGAGCTCTGGCCCATGAAGTGGGGCAGAAGAGAAACAAGGTAACGGAGGTTGGCCCTGCTGGGAAGCTGCTAAGGCAAAACTCACATTCTGTCTCTGAAAGTGGAGGATTTTACCAATAATTCGTCTTCTACTTATCTATAAACAGCTACTTTTGCTCAACTACTTTCCACAATGCAAACCGCTATTTATCTGATTTATCGTCGCTATTGACCGACACAGTCGCCTTCTGTCGACTGGAGTCGGGGAGTTTTCCTGAGCCCGAAACTGCCAGCGGATTCCAGGGCCACAGGTGTGCCCGCCGGCAGTGCGCTCCGGGGCCCGGTCTCTCCCACACGCTGGTCTGGGTGCCCAACGGCCACCGAGTCCAGCTCTCAGTCCGGGCCTCGGGGGACCCCCGTGTGGCTCAAGGTCGGTCACCTGTGCAGTGGGGGCACCGTGCCAGCCCGCAGAGACCGCGGAAAAGCGGCGGGAAGGGCCGCCGGCCAAGGCCAAGCTGACGCCGCCCCGGTCGAGAGCAGCGCGGCGGGGCGGGCTCTCCCGAGGCTCCTTCCGGCAACGTCGGGCGTCTCCACGCTGCCGGCCCTCCGCCGCCCCCTGACCCTCGTCCCCTTCCCTCAGGAAGCCGAGGGTCCCCGGGCCAGGGAGCCCCCGAGGCTCAGGCGGCGGGCCTCCAGGCGGAGGGGGCGCGGCCGTCGGGTGGGTCGGCCCTCGGCGGGCCCGCCCTCACCTCTTGGGGCTTGGGGTTCGGCGCCAGCCTGCGCGGACCAGGAAGGACGTTGGGGCGACACAGCCCCCGCGCTGCCGGCCCTCCGCCACCCCTCTGCCTCGTCCCCTACACCCGCCCTCCTCCCACACATGGTCCGCGGAGGACCGTCACGTCCGCTTCCGCCGCTCAGGTTCGTCTCGCGAGAGCCGCGCTGCCTCGCGAGGCCAGCCCATGGGCGGGGCGCGCCCTGAATGGCGCGGCCGGGGGGCGGCCCCGCAGAGGGAGGAGCTAGTCGTCCCCTGAACGCCATGGCCGCCCTACGCGCCCTGCTGCCGTTCCTCCGAGGCCCGCTGCGCCCCTGGCCCAGCTGCCCTGCGCGGCGCTCCTTCGCCTCGGGTGAGTGCGGCACCGAGGGGCGCGGGCCGGACCCCCGCCACCCCCGGGACCCCCGGGCCTGACCTCACCCCTGCAGGGCGCCCGTCCAGTTGGCGCGCCTCCCGGCGCCGGCTGCCCGAGCTCCCCGGGCCTGGGGTCGCCGGCGCTTCCGCAGTTACAGGGACTCGGGACTGAGCGCTAAGACCTCTGGCCATGTCGGCGTTGGTTGGTGAAGGACCGCCGGGTTTACGTGACTTTTTAAGAGAAAGTGCGGTTAGGGCCTCCGCAGTGTTTTGTCCCGCGGTGCCTCCTCGCCAGGCCCGCCCACGTTCACGGCTTCGCCCCGAGCTGCCCTGCAGACTGTGCTGACCCCCCCAGCCGGCGCCCCTCCCTCACCTGCAGAAAGCGGAGGAACTCTGAGCTGGGGAAGATCGCGTCGTCTTCCTTCCCTGGTTCACCTCGTTAAGTATTCAGATGCCAGGCCGTGTGAGTTTACCCTAAGTTCTGTTTGTCCGCTTCTGGGTCCTGGCCTGGAATCAGCAGTCATTTCCTGGCCTAGAGTGTGACAGGCACGCTGCTGCTAACCTACGTGTGTTATTTCAGTGACTCCCCAGCAAGCTCATGGGACAGGTACGTGCAGACACACACCTTTGTCTTCCCAGGTTAACCCTCCTCCTCCAGGTCATTACCGACCCCCTCCGGGTCGTGCGGTCGCCTTTGATTTCCCCCACCTAGTTGGCATTTGTTGAGAGAACAGACTTCCGCACCCCTTGTTTCTGCAGAATTGCAGGCTGACTCTAGTGCCCTCTGTGGGTGGCACGGACTAAGGCTCTGGAGGAGAAAGTTCATCACTGGATTTTTGTTAACTTAAGGAATTGTTTGAACACCTATGTAAGCCAGAGTGGTACAGAGGTCGCCCTGCAGCTGAGAGCAGTGCACTGCAGCCACCAAGGACAGGGCAGGGTCCTGTTGGGGCCACTCCATCCACTGGCAGGGTAAGCCCCCCCAGGTGGGTGCCTGCGTGAGTGGAAGGCCGTCCCTGTCGCCCTTCTTGCCCAGGTGCTGACTTTGAGTACATCATCGCAGAGAAGAAGGGGAAGAGCAGCAACGTGGGGCTGATCCGGCTGAACCGCCCCAAAGCGCTCAATGCACTCTGCAGCGGCCTCATCACAGAGCTCAACCAGGCGCTAGAGGCCTTCGAGGCAGACCCGGCCGTGGGGGCCATTGTGCTCACGGGCGGGGAGAAGGCGTTTGCAGGTGCGTGGGCAGCATGGTGGCAGGCCCCCAGGTATGTGAGGGGTGCTCGCTGTGATCACACCGTGGCCTGTGGTGTTGCTGGGACAGTGTCAAACTTGGGGTTTCTTTAAATGTAAAGTGGGAATGAGCTGCTCCATACGTTGTAACATTCAAGGCTGCTTCACCAGAAAAGTAAGTTTGTCAAAGTGGTTTTTCTGGCCCTCTCCAGTCAGGTGCCATGTGTTGAGGGCTTAAGTGACTAATGCATAAGCCCAGCCTTCTTTTGAGTCCACCACAAGGCTGTTTCCTGTCCCGTGGTCCCTCTGCGCCACGTCTGTCAACACAGGTCACAGCACATTGCCACTGTCCTGCTGCCCAGCTGTGTCCACATGACCATCACCTCATAGGCCCGTGAGAGCACAACCCTCATGGGTGTTCTTGCAGCTCCCGGTGCCTTCACGGTGGGCACTCGGCAGCCACCTGTTGGTTTGGGGGTACAGTGTAGTAAGGCCTCAGCTATCTGGTCACCAGGACCTCATTTTCACCCCAGCTGGAGCCGATATCAAGGAAATGCAGAACCAAACGTTCCAGGACTGTTATTCTAGCAAATTCTTGAGTCACTGGGACCGACTTGCTCAGATCAGGAAGCCAGTCATCGCTGCTGTCAACGGCTTGGCGGTGAGTGGCAGCCCACATGCCCCCACCCAGCCCATGTGTCCCCTCTCAGAATGCTTGTGGGAGCTGTGCACCTGATTTTTATTTTGAAAAGGCCTGAGCCTCACTCCCAGGGATGCTGAGGTCTCAAGAGCTGTGGAGAGGTATTTCTTCCATTGGTGTTCAGTTGTGGGCTTGTGGGTTCCTGCATCAGGAAAGCCCACCCAGTCCTCACCGTGGCCCCTGTGATTCCCCAGAACGTCCTTCCCTCTCTGCTAGGTTAAGAGCTCATGTTGGCATTTCTGTGCAGTTTTAGTGACTTTCCATCCTGGGCTGCACCTAAAAACAACCTCTCTCACTGCCACTGAAAGCTGCCTTCCGGCATATCAGGGCCTCCTGTACTCACAGGGAGGGCTCAGAGGGGCTGGGGCTGGTTAGCCATCTCTGGTAGAAAAGCCCGGGGCGTTTCAGTTCATGGTGGTGTAATAAAGCTCCTTTGGGGTGAGCTAGGATCAGGGAACCAAGTTGATTGGAACACAGCCATGCCTGTCGGTTCACGTGCTCTCTGGCTGCCTTGAGCCCCCACAGCAGAGTGGGGTGGCCAGCACAGGGACTGTGGCCAACACGAAGCCAAGAGTGTTGCTGGGTGGACTTTACAGAAAGTTTACCAGCACCAGCCACTCGGTAATTTACGGAAGTGCTTAGCTAACTTCAAGCCTTCATATTAATCCTTGCTACACCCTGTGTCCCATTTTAATGGGGAATGTAAGCAAATAGAGTGAGTTTCTGACCAGGTCCTCTGCTTACACCTCATGTTTGCAGCTTGGTGGTGGCTGTGAACTTGCCATGATGTGTGACATCATTTATGCTGGAGAGAAAGCCCAGTTTGCACAGCCAGAGGTCCTACTAGGAACCATCCCAGGTAAAGTGGCAACACCTGTAGCACAGTCTCTTCAGGTAATTCCTCAAAATCTGCCACGTCTTGGGGACTCGGGGCCTTTTCCACTAACTGACAAAAGCATGGGGCTTGCACCTGATGAGGGGCTCAAGGCCCCCTGTGTGTGCACACTGCTGCCTGTCCTGACCTAAGCCCTGGATACAGCAGCTCAGAGGGGCCCTGGGAGCCTTAGAGCTGAGCTGGCTCTTTGATAGCGGCCGGCTCCCGTGTCAGGTGCTGTTAGGAAAGGCTGGCCACGTGGTGGCTGATGCCCACAGTGATCCTCGGTCATGAGCCATATCTGTGGGAGATCTTTGTAAGTCAGAAGCTCAGAAAAGAAAACAAGGTGATCATGGACTATTGCTGAGAACTTGTGCCCAGATGTGACACATCACATCTGCAGTGGCCAGAGCAAGACCCATGGCCCCGCCCAGGGTCAGCAGAGCAGGGAGTCAGACCCCCATAGGGAGGGTGACAGGAGCAAAGCGCCAGCAGTGACACCTGCCCCTGGGCCTCACCTCCTGAGGGCACCAGGCTTATGTCCCCACAGGGTCTCCCCTGCCTGTGGAGCCGGGAGCCCAGGGCATCCCATGGCCATTGGGTGGGCAGGGGGGCAGTTGTGCAGTCAGGAGAGGGTGCCTTGGGTCAGCTGAGGACAAGGGAAGCCCTTTACGACCCCTACTGACCACCAGTCTCCCGTCCGCATGCCTGAGGTCTCCGCTCCTCTGAGGCTACTAGATTTACTAGATTGTGGGTGTCCCCCAGGGCGCTGTGGGACGGCCAGGCGGATTGCTCTTCCCAGGTGGCAGGCGTTGAGTGAGTGGGAGGGTGGTGGGCTTGGAGGCCGTGTCCATGGGGGCCAGGCACCCAAGAGCCTGGAGGTAAGGGCATCAGAGTAGCCAGGGGTGTGCCGAAGGGAGCAGGCCACCCCAGCCGCCCTCTGGCTTGGCCCAGATCAGGGTCTGAGCCCTGAGCTGTAACCCTGGAGCTCCTGTCCCAAGTCTGACTCCTCTGTGTCGGGACCCAGGGCACCAGGTGTGGGGACCTGCATGTGGAAAGGGGTCTTCGGCTTCCCCACCTGCTGGCCGCCTTAGTTCTGCCACCCACCTGAGGGGCCATCACCACTCCTGGGAACTTGGCAGCAGCATGTCTGGGGCATCTTGGTTTGCGCCGGCCGCGAGGCCACCTGTAACTACAACCTTCTGTCTGCAGGGGCGGGGGGCACCCAGAGGCTGACCCGCGCCGTGGGAAAGTCACTGGCCATGGAGATGGTCCTCACTGGTGACCGGATCTCGGCCCAGGACGCCAAGCAAGCAGGTAGGTGCCAGGGCACCCCGTGGAGCCACCCTCATGGGTGCCGAGTAGAGAGGGGAGGGCTGCGTCCATGTGCACCATGGGCTCAGGGCACAGTGCTTTTGGGTGTCTTGAGAACCCAGGGAGCTGACTGCCCTTTTTTTTTAATTGGAAACAGTTTCCATACAAAGAGCAACTGAAACCTACATACAGGTTGCAGAGTGATGCGACCGTCCCATCTCCCCAAGCCCAGCATAGGCAGTGGGGCCCTCTGAGACCCTCCCCGGCATGCCCCCTCCCCTCGCTTAGTGACCTGCTTTTCTTCCCCATTTTCGCATCTCCAAGAGCCTAGGGAGAGTGACCACTGAGGAACAGTGTGAACCTTTCCTGCGTCGCTGCAGCCCTCTTAGCACCTAAAGACCTCTGCTCTCAAAGATCCGTGTGACTCAGAGAAACGTAACCAGGTCTATTCCTACGATGTTCATCTTTTTGTGTTTTAGGTCTCATAAGCAAAATTTTTCCAGTGGAGACACTGGTTGAAGAAGCCATCCATTGTGCAGAAAAAATTGCCTGCAATTCTAAGATCGTAGCAGTGATGGCCAAGGAGTCGGTGAATGCAGGTAGGGGTTCTGCTGGGAGGAGAGGCAGAAAGGGCCACCAGCCCTGTGTGGGAATAGCTGTGAGGCTGAAAGCTTTTTGGCTCTGAATTAAGCACCTCAACCCATCATGGACAAAAATCGTTAAGGCTCAGTATTCTGATTTCTGCTCTTTGAAGAGTTCTGTTTCTAGTTGCTCGCTCACAAACTCAGTCGAAATGTTGTGAGTTCCCAAAAGCTTTTTGGCTCTGAATTAAGCACCTCAACCCATCATGGACAAAAATCGTTAAGGCTCAGTATTCTGATTTCTGCTCTTTGAAGAGTTCTGTTTCTAGTTGCTCGCTCACAAACTCAGTCGAAATGTTGTGAGTTCCCCTTGGTACCAGGACCTGAGGAGGGGGCCAGCCTCAGGGACAGATGGGGACAAGCACTGGTGGCAGGGAAGAGGCCAGGAGGGCATTTCAGTCCCTGGGGTAAAACAAGTCTGGCTTCCAAGAACCTCGGTTCGCCTCCTGGAACCTGGGTTGGAGCTCCACCTTGGTGGGCCCCTCTGTGCCCCCGTCAGGGAGCCATGCACATAGTCAGCGGCCTGCAGCCTGGAGGCCGCACTGAGCACTGTGAACTGGGTCAGAGCTCACGACACTCACTCGACTGTCCGTTCTCTGCCAGCGAAGCGGAGCTCGCCCTCCTCGGAATTGCTTGAGTCAATGTAACAATTTGTATTCAGCATTAAAGTAATGCTGTCCTGTGCTCAGTGTTCCCTGTTCAGAAGACCGTGAGCCTGGACAGATGTGTCTTCCCTCAGACCGGCCCCTTGGCCTCTCCAAGTCTGTATCCATCTCCAGGAAAGCAGCCATGCCCCTGGGTGGCTGGCAGCCCTAGTTGAGTGAGCTGATACCTGGGAAGCACGAGCACAGGGACGAGCAGGCAGCGTGCTTTTAAGGGGCGAACTCTGCCGACACAGTGGGGCGCCGGTGAGGCTACAGCCGGAGGCACCTGTCACCACCCCCACTACCCCGCCTCACATCCCTGCGGAGCTCGGGCCAAGGGAGGTGCTTCCCCAGAGCAGCATACCTGGAAGGGCAGGACTGGAGCCGGGCGTGTCTTCCACCCAGTCTTCTGGCACCGTGTTCGCTTTTCTGGTTTTCAACCTTAATTTTCACTTTTTATACTCTTTATACAATCTCACAGCCTACCTCGAATCCCGTCATGAAGTGACAGTGCTGCCACCCGCTTTCACCCAGCTCCTCATGCCGTTCCCGTCCTGGGGGCACCGCACAGCTCAGGGGCCTAGGAGCAGCAGGCTCTCCTGCCGCTCAGCCGGGGCTGCGGTGGGAAGGGATGTCCCAGGCTGTGCTTTAAGGCACGGTGAAGTCAGAGTGCAGGCCTGTGTCCCCACAGCCGCCCTGAGCTCATAACTTCTGGGTTTTCTTTTTCAGCTTTTGAAATGACGTTAACAGAGGGAAATAAGCTGGAAAAGAAACTCTTCTACTCAACTTTCGCTACTGTGAGTAAACAGCCTTCAAATTGAGAATCTCACATGGTCCAGCCACAGAAGTTGCTAAGCGTTTCATTGTAGATTTTACCATTAGTTGATACCATTTCCCTTCCGTCAGAACAGCTTCCCCTGTAGCCGGATCACGTGTTCTCTCAGTGAGCATTGGTTTTTGCAAATAAGTACAGTGTATGGAAGTTCAAACTATAGAAACTGTTACGGGGTTATTTCCCATCCCAAAAGCAAGCTTAAAACAGTAAGTTCCTATGTTTAAAATGCAATACTTTTCTTAATCATTCCAATTACTTGGAATAGAGTTCCGGTGTACTAGAATGCTGTGATCTGAAGCGTTTCCAGGATTTCTGCCTGTAACCTAAAGGAAATCTGCCTGCTAATAGTCATTAAAATTCATCTCCTTTATCATCATGAAGCAGGATCCAAGAACCTAGACCTGACCTTTGCGCGCTTCCTTTGTGTGCGCGCACGCACAAGCTCACATTCATGGTCACTTCCTCAAGAGCCAGAACCACTTCTAGTCTTTCTTTTATAAAATGCCTAGATAAGACTTTCTGATAGTAAAAGAGATGAATTTAATGTGAACGTCCATTTCTGTTTTTTTCCTCTCCCACCAGGAAGACCGGAAGGAAGGAATGACTGCATTTGTGGAGAAGAGAAAGGCCAACTTCAAAGACCAATAAGAAATGGCTGCCTGTGCCTTAAAACCTCTAAGGAGAAAATACAGTCTCTCAGTTTTCAAAGCAAATAAACCCTTGCTCAGAGGGCAGTTTAAGGGACACGCAGTTTCTCTCCGACTGCTCTAGGCTGTGTGCCGCTCTTGTGCTTGTGGCTGGCAGGCCATCTGCACCAGCAGCTGCAGTTACAAGAACCGGTGTCGGGAGTGAGTTCGTTTTCTGACCAAGCATATTCTTCTTAATCACAAATTCTGCTCATGAGCCTTCAGAGTGTTTAAGTTTTTACTTGACTGCAGAAACTGAGAGGTATTTTGATGCCGAACATCGTCACTGTACGGCATATTATGCTCAGATGGACACATGTCCCGGCTTAGTGTCTGTGTATTTACAGCCCGTGAGCATGTCCACTCACAGGGACAGCCTCGCTGGTGGGCGCTTCACAGACACACACGCCTGAATCTGACACACAGGCCTCAGACCACACGATGCCTTTCTTTTAATCACCCCTGGGGTGGAATGTTCTTTTTTTTTTTTTTTTAACTTCTGTCATCACAAGCAATAAATACAAATAGCACAGAAATCCTTAAAGTAACCTTTGTCACACTCCCAGACTCCCAGAATAAACACAGTTCATAGGTATGTAGCTTTCTGGAGAATTTTCTGCACACCCACACAGCTAAATGGTTCAGTTTTCCTTTTCCAAAAGCTCCATGGCCACACTTCTACAGAGCAGACAGGTTACCTTCTACTTAACATCATACAAGTGCACCCCATTCTCTCGTTTGACTAGTGTTCTTTTTTTATTGTGGTAAAACATAGATAACATAAAATTCACCATTTTTAAATGGACAGTTGAGTGGCAACAATCCATTTCCAGGCTTTCATCATCCTAAACGGAAACTGTCCCATTAAACACCAACTGCCCCGTGTCCTCTATTCTACTTTCTTTGTATATCTGTGAATATACTATTTCCAAGGTCCAGCCCAGTTGTAGCCTGTAATAGCCTTTTACTTTTCACTGCTGAATAATATTCCTGCTAGCATTCTTTTAAGTGGCCCTGAACTATTTTATGACATGAAATTGCTGTGACCTGCCTGTCCTTTGGTATCAGGTCTGTGGGCTGCATCCAGTTTCTTGCTAGAGGACCATCATGGGTGATGCTGCAGTGAGGTTTCTGTGCGCGAATATTTGTGCTTCGGTGCAAGCATGCCTGTAAGACACATGCGGTATTGCAGGGCTGCACATGTGGGAACTTGGCGGTGAAGGTGTGCCCACCCTCCCCTCAGTGGTGGGTCAGTAGGACCTCTGGGAGCTTCTCAGTGCTGTGCTGGCTATTTCTACAACTGGGGCTAGGACTGCTTGCATCTGAATCCCTGTAGTGTTTGCTTAAAATACATTTGCATATCTGGATCAGAGCCAAGGGAGGTGCTACATCTTCAGTCCTCACAGAAGCCTGGTGAAAGAAGTGCCCCAGCAGAAGTGTGCACGGCAGCTTCAATGCTAGTGCTGTTTGCAGTGTTTATGCACCGAGGTTCCTCTGGTGGCTTCAGGCTCCAGGAAGGCCAGCTGTGTCCCCTGGATCACTGTATTGTCAGGCACCTGGCAGGACAGTGGGTGACTGATTCTATCCCCATAGAAAATCACCTCAATTCTCAAGTCCTGGAACATGAGACAAAGACCCATGTCCTCCTGCCACCAGGAAGGGCCTCATGAGTGAGGGGAACGTTGGATGCCTCGCGTTCCAGAACATTCTCAGACCCTCCAGGGTGAGGCCAGGGCCCCTCCATATGCACAGGTGGCTGCTGGGCAGCATGAGGACCCACCTGACTTAATGCTGGCACATGCACCAAACAGCTATAGATTAATAGACGGGCCCTGGCGAGGGGGTAAGGGCCTGCTGGCTTCCACATGCCCCGCAGCCCCATCAGTTGTGCTCTTGTGGAAATGGACCCACTTGTTAGAGGGACAGTGGGTGCCACTTACAGACCCAGGGCAGAATTCTGCCTATGCAAGGACTCCAAATAAGATATGCACCTGGCCTGTCCTAGGACCTGAGCCCCAGAACCTTCCTCCACAGGGAGCCCATTCCCCCAGCTCAGCAAAGACTCAAGAGCACCTGTTGACAGGCCTCACCCATCTTCTGCAGCAGGTAGTCATATGACTGGAACACGGTCAGGTCATTTCTGCAAGTGCTGATTGCGGTCAAGGCCTTGGGCTGAAGTGAGGCCAGGAGTGTGTACCCTCCCTCCCAGAACCTGAGCTGAGCACCAAGGAGAAACCCATCTACTTTTGGAACAGGATTAAAATGACCTGCAAAGCTTTGGCTATCTAAACCCTGAGATTTCCTGCTCCTATGTTTTGGTTGTATTTATTCAGAGAGTGGGGCCTGCCCGAGATGATCTTGATGCGCTGTGCATACTGCCTCACAGTCCCTCACTCTGCAGTTTTCACCCAGGCTCTGGCCTCTTTTGGGTGTTGTGATGAGAAGGCAATAAGCTTGGAGGCTTCAGGAGAAGGAGTTTGAGGAGGCAGTGATCAAGACCCACTCGCCCATGCGAGGAGTGGAGACAGCTCGGATGGAGTTGCCCTTGAAACGGAAGGCAAGGTGACTTATGAACGACGGACTTTCCCAGGCCTCTAGGCATTTCATCACAGGGTTGGCAGCTGTGGCGACTGCACTGGCCACACGGCCCAGTGCGTTTGGGAACAAAATGGAAGATGGTGGGCTCCCAGGAAGAAAGCCTGGTCTGGGCAGCCACCAGGGCTCCAGGTCTGGGGTCTCCTGCTGAGCAGGCAGCAGCGAGTACTTAGCACTCAGCTGGGCAGGTGTGGGTAGAATTTTGATAGTTCCAAAATATCTCACCCTGCTTTAGTGCATCTGCATCCTCAGGGCTGGGCAGAAATATGGCTTTAGTGCATCTGCATATCAACAGGCATTCTTCAGGGTGGAGAGAAGTTCATCTCTGTATCAAAGGGTAATTACCTGGGCAACTGAGGGCTTACCTGAACCTGAGAGGTTAAGGGGGGAGCTGGTTGGCTTCTGCTCGAGCAGGAGAAATGGCCTGGACTGCAATCTGTAAGCAATAAATTGGTTTGAAACTTTATTTCTCCCTTTGATTTCAGTTTTAAAGGTATTTTGTCCCGGGATTTCCTCTCCCCGGAGTAACAGCAGGTGAGCAGGGTAACCTGCAAACTGAAGTCCCAGGGGCAGAACACCAAGGGCCAGCTGGGGCTGAGCAAGACCATGGGCTGAAATGCCGACATCGGGGCTCTGCACATCTCTGGGCTTCTGGCCAGTGCTGTGTCTGGGATCCCAGGGGAGTGTCCTGAAGAAAGAGAAGGCACTGCCTTGTATGGCTGAACCTCAGAGGCCAGACAGCACGACTTCCAGCATATTCTATTGTTGGAGGCAGTTACGAAGATCCACAGGGTTCAAGGTGGGGGGCAGAGGTCCTGTGGGATGGCAGACACAGCGGAGCTGCCTTTGGGAAATAATCTGGTGCACATCCCAGCCAGAATCAGGCGCACCCCCTATGTGCTTGCACAGCCCTGGGCAGAGAGGTCGTGGGTGTCCTTTGGGGTGGTACATCTCCCAGCGGGATGCGCGGGAGGCGGTGGCACCCTTAACAGGGAGCTGATGCTGCCGTTCTTGTTCACAGAGCTGAAGAATGAGCTTCACAAATACTCAAGATAGGAGGGCAAAGTACAGGCTTTTATTTAGAGATAAAGTGAAAGGACAGAGCTCCTGGCTCAGGGGACAACAGAGTCTGGGGTGGTGCACTGTCTAGGGGTTTTATAGGCAGTTGAGGATTTTTGGGAACATGAAAAAAGCTTAGGGGTGTGGACTTATTAAGTGGTCCCTGAATATTTAGAATTAACACAAGCAACTGCCTGCTCTGATGATTTTTCTCTGAGATACTAGTGTCTTGGTCTGGGAGCATATGAAACAAGGCCACCTGCCCAGCCCCCAAGGTGGACTGAGCTATTGTTTGCTAAAGAGTAAGTTAAGAATTCTACTTCTTAAATTCTTGGGTATTAAAATGCAATCTTATCTTTAAGGTGGAATCCTTCCTGCCTTTTACTATGCTGTTTACAGCTGGGCCTGCATGCTAAATTAGTTGCCCAGTTTGCAAAATCACCTTATCAGATCTGAAGCAGGGAAGACAGCACAGAGGCCTGGGCCTTTTGGTGTGCTAAAGTGAATCTTACACATGATTATAAATGATTACAAACATGTGCTACTCTTCTTTATCTGGGGAATATTAACTGATCTCAGTGAAGAATGACTCTAGAGCTGAATGTTTAACAGAGTTTTGGTAGGGGGTTTCCTTGCATGAAGTTACATTGCTCTGACTGCAAATATCCTGCCTTACTTTTTCCGGAGGCCCTCACCCTGCTGTGACTACACCCAGGTCCCTGTCTCAGAGCTAGGGTTGTTGGTGGCCCTGGCTCTGAAGGTGTTAACTAGGAGCCGGCATCCCAGATGCCAGCACTACAGCAGTCAAGGGGGAGAGGGAGTCTGGCCAGGTGAAGACAAGAGGTCCCTCTGTTCATGGGGACAGCCCATCGAGCTGAGGGGAAGGAAGGCTCAGTTCTAAGGAGGGCAGACAGCCCCTGGGTCAAAGGTCAGGGCACTGCTGTCCTGAGCAGGGGTGAGACAGGGACCGTGGGTGTAGTCAGAGTAGGGTGAGGGCCTCTGGAAAAAGACCCCTGCCAAAACTCCACATTAAACAATTAGACAAAGGCAGAGTTACATTAATTCTCTCAAGTAAAATATCAAACTAAGAATATAAGCATTCTTCAGTGAAGATTAGTCAAGACTAAAAAGACAGGAATAACCTAGCCTGGAATGTATGAACATCCCCCAGATAAGAAAATACCTCAGCACAGCCCATGTCTTGTTTGTGTCAATGAAATGAGGCTATTGTAAAATTTACTTTAGCTGCTAACAAGCCCAGTTTATCTTTAACTTTGCCCAGATGCTGCTTTTCCTCCTCCAGCCCTAATCAAGTCAGTAACTCAGCTCACCTTGAAAGCAAGACAAGCAGCCCTGACTGAGAAGCTCCCAAACCAAGAAACTGCTACTCAGAGAAAGGAGTTAACTCTACAAAATAGTCCGGGGAAAACTGCCAAGAAACTTAGTGTCTCTTCAAAGATAAACATTGAGAGACCATCTGGTGGGTCTGCATCCCTAGCCCTCTGTCTCTCAACCGCCTATAAACCCCCTAGACAGCGCACCACCCTGGGCTCTCTTGTCCCCTCCTGGCTCACACCAGGAGCTCTATCTGACCTCTCATTGCATCTCTCAATAAAAGTTTCCCTGGCTCTCCTACCTTGACTGTTTGCTAAGTTCATTCTTCGATTCCGCAAACAAGAACCCCGGCATAAGGGGCACTGCACCCCTAGCCAGGTACCTGAGTGTCTTAAGTGAGACGGACCGTGGGTGTAGTCAGAGTAGAGTGAGGGCCTCTGGGAAAAGCAAGTCAGAGCAGTGTAACTTCATGCAAAGAAACCCCCTACCAAAACTCTGTTAAACATTCAGCTCTAGAGTCATTCTTCAGTGAGATCAGTTAATATTCCCGATGTAGAAGAGCAGCACATGTTTTTATTATGCTAATCATTTTTAATCATGTGTAAGATTCACTTGGCATGCCAAAAGGCCCAGGCCTATGTGCTGTCTTTCCTCCTGCAGACCTGATGAGGTAGGTGATTTGCAATCTGGGCAATTAATAGAGGCAAGTAAACCCAGCCATAAACAACATAGTAAAAGGCAGGAAAGATTCCACCTTAAAGATAAGATTGCATTTTAATACCCAGGAAGTTAAGAAGTAATATTTTTAACTTACTCTTTAGCAAGCAATAGCTCAGCCCACCTTGGGGGCTGGGCAGGCAGTGTTTGATATGCTCCCAGACCAGGACGCCAGTATCTCCAGGAGAAATCAGAGCAGGAAGTTGCTTGTGTTAAGTTAATTCTAAATATTCAGGGACCACTTAACAAGTCCACACCCCTAAGCCTTTTTTCACGTTCCCCAAAATCCTCAACTGCCTATTAAACCCCTAGACAACGCACCACTGCGGGCTCTCTCGTCCCGACCTGGCGCGAGCCCGGAGCTCTGTCTGTCCTCTCACTGTATCTCCCAATGAAAGCGTCTCCCTGGCTCTCCGACCTTGGGTGTCTGCTAAGCTCATTCTTTGACTCCGCAAACAGGAACCCCGGCATCATTAGCAGCCTAGCTCCTGAGGGGCGAGTGGGGAACCGGGATGGGAACTCCCAGCGCAGCCGCCGCCTGGCCACGCAGTCCTTCCGGAGGCCCGGCCTCGCCCCTCCCGTGGCCCCGCCCACTCCCCGCCTCTCCGGCTGCCCGACCACGCCCCTCACGAGGCCCCGCCCCGCGCAGCGGCCCCGAGCATGGTGGTGCTGAAGGGCGTCCCGGCGCTGCTGTCGCCCGAGTTGCTCTACGCCCTGGCGCGGATGGGGCACGGAGACGAAATCGGTGAGCGCGACGGGGTCGCAGCCGCGGGGACCCTCATTCCCGGCCCGCAGGGATCCTGGCCCGCGGCGGGTCCCCGACCGGAGGCGACGACCCGGAAGAGCCGGTCCCGGGGGCGGCATTACCTTGGACGCCCGGCCCTGCTTCGGAGCAGGACGCCTCTCCCCGCTCTCTTTAGGCTCGGCCGGGCCCCAGCAGGTCACGAGGCCGGTGGCCCTTGGTCTGGGAGGGAGGGGCTGTGTCCTGCAGGTCCGGCCCAGATGGCCAGAGACACAGTTCCCCATGCCGGTGGGACCCCATTTGCCGCTCAACTCCGGGCCTCTCCCCAGACGGCCGGGCACCCGCGGCTGTCCCCGAAGTGTGCAGCCGCTCCTTTTATGGGGCCCGGGGCCCGGGCTGGGCTGGGCGGAGCGGGGCTGCGGGCCCTGCGGTTCTCCTGCGTGGTAGCTTGGTCTTCGCTCTACGTGACCCGACCTGAGACCCTGGGTCTGCACCCCTCGCCGCGGTCGGTCGGGTGGGCTCCGCGGGCCCGCCTAACCCGGCCGCCCCTCTGTCAGTTCTTGCAGACGTGAACTTCCCCACCTCGTCCATCTGCAGGGGTGGCCCGGAGGAGATCCGCGCCGACGGTGAGCACCCTACTTCTTGGGGGATTGGGCAGTCGTCCTGGCTCTGGGCACCCCAGGTGATTCAGCTCTGGCCCCACCCCCACCAGTGACCCCGGAATCCTAGTGGCTGGTCGCCCGAGGCCCTCCCTTTAGCCCCCAGCCTCAAGAGGTGAGGCTGGGCTTCCTGCTCCATCTCGGACACCACATGGTGATTTCTTACAAATGGAGACACTGAGGCCAGTCGCCTCGTGGGCTGCCTGAGCAGTGATCCACCGCCTCCAGGTCAGGTGTTCAGCCTTTACTCTTCTATAGAGATCCCGGTACTAGTGACCTGGCCACACAGGCCCCAGGTGTCCATACAAAACGTCTGGAAGACCCTCTAACTTGGGTGATGGGAGGGGAGGCTCTGCAGGGCCTGGAGCCAGGTCCCAGAGGTGAGGAGGGTGGAGGGTAGTAGTACCGGCTGGTGCTGGGAGTGCGGGGTGAGGGCACCTGCATCCTGCTGCTTCTTGGCTGTGCCCGATGATGCTGTGCGGCAGGAACGCACCTCTCCCTGCAGAATATAGGATGTGAAATGTGGATAAACAGCCCCTCGGGACAGTGTGCCAGTGCCCAGGCCTGCCCGGTGGGCTGCTCACTCCTGACCCAGGGGCCTCAGGTTCCACCAGTGCTCAAGCAGCTGAACCAGCAGTGCCTTAGTTCACACCAAGGGTCAGGTGACTGCTCCCGAGGGAGGGAAAGGCCAGAATGCTGGAAGGTAAGGAGTGTTTAAGCCACAGAAGTGACACACACACGCTGCTCGTTAGTGGAAAAGAAGCAATTAGGATTGAGTGGAATATGCAGAAACATCTAATGAAGAGATACAGAGAAAAAGGGCAGAAAGAAATGCACTCGGTTGGTAGCAGGGCCTCCTCACAGGGTAAGGTTACAGCTGATTCTTTCTTTTTGTGGACTTCTCTATTTCCCAACTTTGTACAATGAGCACACATTGCTTACAATCAAAGCCCAGCTTTACAGGAGAGCAGGGGACCTTGAGCAAGAGAGGCGTCTTCCCAGGCCCTCCCACCCCGTCCTTATCTCAGATCAAGGAGGCAACCATGGGGTCATCTCGGACACCTTCTGCATCAGAGGGGCCCCTTCTGGCGGACGGGTGTTTAGGGTCACCAACACCAACCTGTGTGGTGCAGAGTGAAGGCAGGTGGGCAGGGTAGGCCCAGTGCCTGGACCGTGACAGCTACTGTGGCCGGGGCAGGGAGACGCCAGCGTGACCTTGATAAGTGTCACTAGGTGGGCAGCAGGTGCTTGGACGGGTTGGGTGGGCAGGTGGATGTTGGTGGCCAGGTAGGAGAGGACCAGGTCTGAGGCCAGCACTCTGCCCCGCCAGGCCTGGGCATCCCGCAGCTCCTGGAGGCCGTGCTGAGGCTGCTCCCTCTGGACACGTACGTGGAGAGTCCGGTGAGTCCCTGCATGGCCTCGTTGCCCCCCTCACTGCTCAGGGCCTCGGTTTCCCTGTTGTCAGAACTGAGAGGGCACACTTGCCTGGGGAGGAGAGGTGGATGTGTGTCCCCAAAGGGCCCTGACCCTGGTTAGAGGAGCCCCGAACAAACCACGGGGGGCCTGGAGGCACCTGGGGCAGCTGAGTGGGTGGTCTGCAGAGCTGGCCCCCTCTGCCCCTAGGCTGTTGTCATGGAGCTGGTACCCAGTGACAGGGAGAGGGGCCTCCAGACCCCAGTGTGGAAGAATTACCAGTCTATCCTCTCCGGAGCCCATGGCACGGTGAGCCTGGGACCCTCACCGGGGATGCTCTGTGCCTCCTTGGAGGCTGGGGGGAAGCAAGACTCCACTCCACAGTCCTGCGATCCTCTGCCTGCCTGCCATGAAAAGTGCCTTTGGGGTTGTGGCTGCCCCACCTCCCTGCCACAGTCCTCGCCTGTCTCTGCGCTTGCCCGCCCTGGCCTGTCCAAGTGGGGCCAGAGGAAGCAGGGTATCCCCAGCCCCCATTTTGTGGTCAGAGGCCTGGCCCGATGTATGTGTCACCCCCCACCCTGTAGAGAAACAGGCCTCTTCTCCCAGAACCACCCATTTACCTCCGGAGGGGATGCCTGGGGCTCCTGTCCTGGATAGTGGCCCCCTGGGGCAGCTCGGGGGCACTCAAGGGCCCAGGCGGGCAGCCACCACAGCCTACCCCCATGTCTCTGCCTGCCCTGTCATCGAAGGTCAGAGGCCAAGTGTCCTTGGGAACCTGGGCAGCATCCCTGGACCAAGCCATTTTGCCTTCCAGACCGCTCTGGCGACGATCGAGAGGTTTGAGTTTTATCAGAGGGCCAAAAAGGCTTTTGCTGTGGTAGCGACGGGGTAAGTTCTGGCTGGGTCCTGATGGGTCCCCTGGGTCCAGGTGGGTCCCCTGGGTCCTGATGGGTCCCATGGGTCCAGGTGGTTCCCCTGGGTCCCCTGGGTCCAGGTGGATCCCCTGGGTCCTGATGGGTCCCCTGGGTCCAGGTGGGTCCCCTGGGTCCAGGTGGGTCCCCTGGGTCCCCTGGGTCCAGGTGGATCCCCTGGGTCCTGATGGGTCCCCTGGGTCCAGGTGGGTCCCCTGGGTCCTGATGGGTCCCGTGGGTCCAGGTGGGTCCCCTGGGTCCAGGTGGATCCCCTGGGTCCTGATGGGTCCCCTGGGTCCAGGTGGGTCTGCTGGGTCCTGATGGGTCCCCTGGGTCCAGATGGGTCCCCTGGGTCCAGATGGGTACACTGGATCCGGTTGGGTGCTGTTGGTCAGGGAAGGTCTGACTGGGCCTGCCTGGTCCACTTGGGTCTGGCTGGGTCTGAGCCGTGTGGGGCTCCTGTCCTCCCCACTCTCTGCTCAGCCCCTGCCCTGACTAAGACCAGATGCCTGTAGGGAATGGGATTACCAAGAGATTGCTTGTCCGGGAATAGGGTTGGCAGCAGAGCCAGGGACTGGGCATCCTGGCCCTCTCTGGCACAGCTTGGTGCCCATCTCAACTCCTTATGCAGGGAGACGGCCCTCTACGGAAACCTCATCCTCAAGAAGGGCGTGCTGGCCCCCTGTGACCTGGTCTAGGGCAAGTGGACTATGCACCCAAGCACCCAGACCTCACCAAGCCCGGAGCTCCCAGGGCGCCTGTTCACCAAGGCTGGGAGTCTCCCAATTTATAAAAATGATGGAAAAGCACAGCAGTTACTTGTCAGTCTCACCATGAAGCAACAGGCCCTTTCTTTTCACAGAGGCCTGTTTGGTGCCCTGCAGCCTGCCCTCCATGAACCCTCGGGCAGAACAAGGCCCGCTCTTCCCAGTGGGTTTGGGCTGCCTGGCTTGGCAAGTCCTGTAAATATTTACAGGTAGGCACCTCACGGGCCCAGCTGCCACCTGCGGGCCTGAGGACCTGAGGCTGGTGGGAGGGGATGCCTGCCAACCCAGCACACTGCAGGAGGCCTGGAGCGGGAGCGGCTACCCAGGTGGCCCTGAATGGGACGTGGGCTTCTGCATCAGCCCTGGGCTGCAGGCACGAAGGTGGCTCTTAAAGAGGGGCTCATTCCATTCCTTCACCCCAAAGGCAGGGGGCAGGGGTTGGGGTGGATGCTCTGAAAGGACCTGGTGGCTAGGATGAGGGCAGGGCAGGGCTGGCATAAGGCCAGAGCTCCTGGGGTGAGGCTGGGTGCAGGCCTGTGTTCCTTCATCCAATGGCTGAGTGCCTACTGGACACGCATGAGCCTGAGCTGCCCTGGGAAGAGGGTGGGGGGACGTGGCACGCAGGCGGAGGGCTGGCCTGGAGGGGTGTCCAGGAGGCTGTGATGGCTTCCCAGAATGTTTGGGCTTGTCTCACAGGCTGCTGTCCTCAACCCCAGGGCCCTCTCTCTGCCCTCCAGACCTTCCTTTGGCCACATGGGTGCAAGAGCTGGGATTATGAGGGGCTTCTGGGCCGCTGGGTCCCTCAGCGCCTGGGGGAGGCTCCTGTGCTCAGGAGTGGGGTCTGGTGTCCCGGACGCCATGGGGAGCCTGGAGAGCAGGCTAACCCACAGCGCGGAGTCTTGAGGCCTGGCCTGGAGGAGGGGCCCTGTTCTTGTCATTCCCAGGGCCTAACCTCAGGCCCCTGACCCCATGGCCACTTTCAGCCACATGCGCCTTTCCTCAGACAGCTTTCCTGAGGGCTCGCTGACACAGGAAAAGTACACATTTACAGTGCCCGTTTGGACACTGTCACCACAGCCAGGGCAGCCAGCGTCTGTGTAGTCTCCTGCGCCTGCAGGCTGGTGTGCACCTGGGTGCTCTCGGGGTGGAGTACAGCACTCTGGTGTGGCCTCTCGGCGTAGTCATCGTGGGCGCATGCATGTTGCATGTGGTGTGATCTTGTCACTGAGCAACACTTCATGCAGACACGTTCCAGTCCCCTCTCCCGTCGCTGGGGCCTCTGACAGGTCAGCGTGCTGTGAATGTTCCCTGGGGGGTCACAAGCCCCCGATTCTGTCAGGTAAACACCGCGAGTGGCTGAGTTGTATAGCAGGTATATATGTCACTTCTACAGCAGTTTCCAGACTCTCCCAAAGGCGCTGTCCTGGTTTATAGCCCCACCTGCCGGCTAGCCAGCGCTCCAGGCCCTGTCCCGTTAGCTGCCGCAGCCTAGTGGTGCTGTCTCTGGTTTCCATTTGGTCCCCGGATGGCTAGAGCATGTTCTCACGGGCTCGTTCACCTGCTTCTGTTTTCTTTGGAAACATGCTCATCTCGGGCCCATTCGTATTGGCACCAGGGCCTTTAACGGTTCTGTCACGGATTCCAGTGTGTGTTCCTGTGGGACCACCACACCTCCAGGGACCCTGTGGCACCTGCCCGGGTGCTCTGCCTACCTGGAGACACTCAGACCCACAGGTGAGTGGGTCTGCCCCTCCAGAACACCCCCACTTCAGATCCTGGTCACAAACCCAGGCTGTCCCCTGTGCCTCTGACCCACTGGCTATAGATGGGAGGCTCCCACAGCTGCCTGCTCAGGTTTGGTTAATTTACTAGAGCAGCTCACAGAACTCAGAGAAACGTTTTACTTGCTAGGCCACTGGTTTATTATAAAAAAGATGTGAGTCAGCAATAGCCAGATGGAGACACAAGGGGAAGGTGCAGGATGGGCCGGAGCTCCCACACCCTCTGGGCATGCCACTCCCCCTAAACCTCCACGTGGTGGCCAACTCAGCCCTCTAGGCCAGTCCGTTTGGGTTGCTAAGGAGGCTTCAAGGTATGATTTAGATCTGTCCATTGACGGGTGACTGGACCTCCGAGACTGAAAGCTCGGACCCCCTCACCAGGTGGATGGTTCTCCTGGCAGTTGGCCCCCAGCCTCTGCCCTTCCCAGCATCAGCTCCTTAACATGAGACACCTGGATCGCTGTCTTCACTCCAGAAATTACTAGGGCTTTAGCAGCTCTGCCAGGAACGGGGACAAGACCAAGAATATCTCTTGTGAGCTGCAATATCGCAACCTTTTCCACTCGGTCTGAGCTCTTGCTGGGGAAGTCTGGCACTCCCTCGAAGGATCTTGGGCTTGACAGACTCCGAAGAGCACAGGCCACTCTTGTCAGCCACTGCTCTGGAAGGACGTTGGGTGGGCAAGCAGGGGGAGGTCTCGGGCAGCTTAGGTGTTGGGGGTGGTGAGGAGCCTGTGCCCCCGAGCCAGCCTCTGGTCCCTGCCAGGGCTGCTGTGTCGGAAGCCAGAGCCGTGGCTCCCAGCACGACTGGCCTGGGTTGTTCAGCACCCACGCGTGGTTACTGCGTAAGTGTTTTGCCTAGTGACACCAGGAAGTGGGGAGAAGTAACCCCTGCTCAGTGCTGGGTGAACCAGTGGTAGTTCGCAGGGGAAGAGCCTCCCCCTGGCTGTGCACCAACCCCTAACTTCCGGCAAGGGCCAAAGGAGTAGCACCCAGTTTTAGTGACAGACATCCCACCCCCTCAGGCAGCACGAGGGGCTCAGCCTGCAGAGGGCTGAGCTGGCCTGTGGCCACTGCCACTGTCTCCTGCTCAAGGGGCTTGCACACTCCCAAATCCCCTGCTCACTCCGTCTCCAGGTGCCCTCCCTCCGCCTGCACCCTCAGGTTGGAGAGGGACCTGTGGGGATCCTACTGCCCCCAAGGCCGGGTCTTGACCACACACACTGAGCTTGGCTGCTCGGGGCTCTGGGGTGGCTGCCCCTGACATGGCAGAGGAGCGGCCTGGAGGGGCTGTGAGCCCTCGTGTGTGCCGAGGGATTCAGGGCAGCCTGAGACCTGGGCAGGGCTATAGGGCTCCCTGGAAATGCTGCTTCTCGGTCTGGTGTGGGCAGGGGCATGCTGACAGCAATGACTCCCTTGTTCCCAGGATGACGGGTGAGGCACATGGTGGCAAGGCTGGTACCTGCTCTGCCCGTTAGGGCAGGACCTTGAGCAGCTCACTGCTCGGCCAGCGTCCTCAGTGGGAGCAGGAGGATGACCCAGCCCTGCTCCGGCAGGGGGTGCAAGGTGAGGCCGGCAAGCCACGGCACATCTCAGGACGCGGGTGGCCACTGGAGTCCCTGAGGGAGCTGCAGGGCTCCCAGAGCCGCACCAGAATAGACGCCAGGGGCCTCTGGCCATCCCTTCGCTCTGGTGGCAACAGCAGGCTCAGTCGAGGCAGGGGGCGCTGTCTCCAGCACCAGGCGCTCCCCTCTCCATGTGGGGCTCGATGGCCACAGACACCCGGCCTGCCTCGGGATGCACCTCAGCACATACACAAAATGCAGAGTAACTCCAGAGACCCTGCACCTGTGGGTGGGACATGAGGGCATGCAGGACAGCGCACCTCAGAGAGTGCTGGGCACCAGCCCCAAAACTGAGGGAGAGTTTGGTTGATTCGTGCCCAATAACCCGCACCCCTGAACACCTGCCTGTTTGTCCTGTCTGAGCTTCCTTGGACTCAGCCTCCTTCCAAGTCCCTTCTGTTCTCAGTCCCATCTGTAGGGACCCCAGGGCAGGTTTGTTTTCTCTTGTGAGACTGGCCTTGGCCCTGTTCCCATCCAGGGACACTAGGGAACGGCCCAGGGGACAGCTCATTCGGGCAGTGTGGATGCTGGATGGGGACAGGTCAGGCTTGTGGTGTCCTGGGGACTCTGTGTGAGGACACTGTGGACCCAAGAGGACACAGCCCTTCTCAGACGGAGTAGGCCAGGGCCACCGTCACTGTTCTTGAAGACACACATGGCCTCTGCCTCTGCAGGGTTTATTTCTCTGGGTGGGGAGGGTCAGGGCCCCCAGGAGGTGCCCCTGGGGTGGTAGATGTAGTCTCGGTCCTCCTCTGGTCCCTGCAGCTCCTGGCGGGACGGCAGCACCCAAGACCAGGGCTGGGCCTCGTCCTGGGCCTCCTCAGGCCAGGGGTGGTACCGGTCCTCAGGGTCTGGCTCAGGGCCCTGCCTGGGGCTTGGGACACGGCCTAGAGCGTCCTCTGTCCCCAGCCAGGCTGTGGCACCTAAGGACAGAGAGAGGAGGCGTGGCCTCAGGTTGCTTCCAGAGGCCCCATCCATCTGAGCCCGCGGAGCTCCCCGCTCTGGCCTCTGACCTTGCCGGGTCTCCCAGGTGGCGGCCACAAGTCCTGGTGCGGTGAGCTGCCCCCTGAGCCATCCACCGTCCGGAGGCTCCGCCGCTAGGGCCCCCCAGGCCCTGTGAGCACAGCTGGATCAGGTCCTCAGCGTTGCTGGCACAAGGCATGGCTCCCCCACTGAGGAGGGTGCGCACTGCCTCCCAGCAGACGGGGGCCCTGGGGAGACTTGGGAAGCTGCTCCCCACGAGTCTGGTGGTATCTGCCAGCTGCCACAGGGGCCCTGGGACAAGCACCTCTGCCCCTCCCCTAGGAGTTACCACCAGGCCGCCCCCACGGAGCCCAAGCACCCAGACCGTGGGCCAGGCACCCCTGCCACGTCCCTGAGCTGCAGGGGTTCCGGGAAGGCAGGAGCCCCATTTGGGCAGTGTCCCTAAGCGTGAAGGCGTGAGAAGACGACCTGGCCCAGGACAGAGGCAGCCCTGGCTGCAGCCCCAGGGAGCCCAGCCAGGAGGCACTCCGTGGGAAAGACAGCACACCCCACAGGCTTGGGCAGGAGCTGTCCCACTCCAGGTGTCAGCAGGGGCCAAGGAGTGTGAGGGCTGGGGACTGGAGCTGCATCCCGCAGCCTGGAGGGTAGTGGCCCTGAGGAAAGCCAGCCAGGCTGCCTCATGTGGGTGCAGGACAGAGGCACAGCTTGGAGGGGGCTCTGCAGCCGTGGGCCCCATGGCTGGAGCCACCCTGGAGGCTGCCAGGAGGGCGGGGATTCAGGGCCTGCTCAGCTTCTGAAAGGTGCCATGGGCTCCATGCTAGCTAGAGCGCTGTGGCCACCCCAGACCTGCCGGACAGGGGCAGCAGGTGGCATTGCTGGGCACACTCACTCCTCAGTGTCCTGCGCAGGGGGCCCGACTTTGCCTTTGGTCTTAACAAGCACCTGGAGAGAGAGGTCACAGGTTGGGCTCGGCACAGTCCGCAGGGGCTCAAGGCAGAGGACACCTGGAGAGAGATGGCTCCAAGGCCCCCAGGACCCTGCGACTGCCCCACCCCTGCTCTCCTGGGCCCTCTAGGGAATGAGTGGAGGACAAGGGGTTTCTGGGGAGCCCATTGGGGCCACACCTGCACTTCCATTTGGTGGCCTGAAGAAGAGGGGCCGGTTCCTCGGAGCCCAGCGCTCCTTGTGAGGCAAATTGGGGAGGAGGTAGGAGGGGGGACACAATAAAACAGTGACCCCAGTGGAGCCCCCAGCGCCTGGCAGCGGCAGGCATCTGTGCCCCTCTTGCTGGGAAGAGGCGGGGCTCCTTCACATGGTCCCTCCCGGGTGTGCAGGGCTGAGTGGCCTTGACCAGGTTGGGGGAGGACACCGCCCCAGGCATCAGTTATGGGCACAGAGGGCATCACAGAGCAGTCCTGTGCGCAGAGGTTCCCCCTGCTTCTCGGCACAGGTGAATAACACCGAGGCCCGCCTCCTCCCGGGTCACTTCAGCATCAAGGTCTGCCCGTCAGACCACACAGAGGACTCCCCCGCTTATCCCTGTGCCCACAGGGACCTGCAGCCACACCAGTGCCCCCTACTCCATCCTAAGCCAGCTTGGTGCCCTTTCTCCTCCTCCCCTGATGGCTGGGCGGGGATGGGGAGGAGCCCACACCCACCTGGTGCAGGGACGCTGAGCCCACTTCCTGCAGCAGCACGGCTGCCAGGCTGGTGACCAGGAGGAGCCTGGGGCCAAAGGAGAGTGAAAGGTGGGCAACGGGCTGCCCCCCACAGAGAGGACTGCTGGACGTGTCATGGGGCACAGGCAGATTCGTGGCTCCGTCCCACAGATGGGGACGTGCACACACGGAGAGGAGGAACCACCGCAGGCCCACATCTGCTTCCAGGCTGCCCAGGACCAGGGGCCACTCCCCGGCAGGCAGCTGCTGTGTGCGGGTCTGCTGTCCACATCTTGCCACCAGCATTCATGCCGGCTGGTGCACAGACCCATTGGCACCTCCCAGGGCCACAGTGCCCTGTGCTCAGTGGCTTGGGGGGATGTGGGACATGGAGCTCAGAGCCCTCCCTGCCACACACCCCCAGAGCTGTGCATTGGGGCTCCCTGCGGGCCAGGCTGAACCTCACTCTGTCCCAGAGCCACAGGTGGACCACAGAGCCACTGCTGCCCAGGAGGCATGTAGGGTGGGGTTCTCTGCCCGGACATGTTCAGCCTGACCTCTGGGGAGGCCAGGATGGCTGACAGGGAAGAGCAGGTCAGGGGGGTCCGAGGAGCAATGGCCAAAGGCAGGAGATGGACTGCACAGGATGGACGGTGACCGACAGATGGGAGGCACAGACCCTGAAGGCCTCGTCCGAGGCTGCGTCAGGAGAACAGCAGCCAGGAGGCGGGCTGTGGGGTGCAGTGTGCGTGCACATGGGTACGACCAAGACAACAGTTCCTGAGTGGAGTGGCTCCTGCTGAGCCCCAAGTCACCAAACCAAGCTTGAACATACCCTCAGCTCTCCTGGAAACGAAGTCATAAATCAGTCACTGAGGAATGGCCTGGCCAACGCCAGCCGGGCCGGCTGCCTGGCACCCCTGCCATCCCTGTGGCTACAGTCAGCTTTTTGCTTCCACAGCCTCCTCATCCTTGTCTGCCCAGAAGGCTGGCGTCTTACGGGACTTCCACCTGTGGGACTGGATACTGCCCCAGTCCAATAGGTTTTTGCTCAAATAAACTCAACATGTTTTCTATACCTCAGTTTAGCTGTGTGCACACAGCTCTCCTAGACCCTGCGGGAAAGGCTTTTGCGTCTGTTGGTGGCAGGCGGGGCAGGCTGGGAAAGGCCCCAGGGCACAGGGAGGCACAGGGGCCTCAGTGAAGGAAGCTGCCTGGTGGCCCTGGATTCCAGCCAGAGACCTTTGCCCCTCTCCAGGTGACGCAGCACTCTGGGCTAGGGGTACCCGGGCACACCACAGGAGCCAAAGGGCGGCGGCGTGCCCCTGACGGCAGGGTGCTGGTCTGGCTCAGCCACTCTGCCTCTTCAGGGCACCTGCTCCCAGACAGAGACCAATTCTGGCGCCAAGCAAGGGCTGAGCCGAGGACCCTGTGAGTCCGGGAGAGGAAATCCTGGGGCAAAATAACCTCTGAAAACTGAAATCAGTCGAAGGGAGAAATAAAGTTTAAAACCCGTTTAAACAAAACTGCAGTCCGGCCCATCTCTCTCTCCAGCCCCCACAGCAGCAAAACCGGCCCTCCCCTCCCCTCTCAGGTACAGATAATCCCTCCGTGCCCAGGTAATTACCCACTGAGAGGGAGATGCACTTCTCTCCACCCCTGAGGAAAGATGCAAATACACTAAAGCCATCATTCTTTCCACCTCTGAATGCCTATTGATATGTAGATGTACTAAAGCCAGGCGAGATATTATGGAAATGTTACAGTTTTACCCACAGACCTGTAGCTACCTGTCTGGATTCTACACTCACCACCACACTGCCCAACCACACCTGGGAAAGCACCTTGCAGGATAGGGCAGTGCTGGACCAGGAGCAGGGATGGTAAAGATGAGGCGGGGCAGCCTGGCTGTAGCCCCCTGTAGGCCACCCTCCAAGTGGATGGCTCTGGACATCAAGAGGACCCCAAGGCCCCCTAGCCAACCAGCGGCACACCTCTCTACAAGGGAAGATGGCCTCTGGTCCAAGCCAGGGTCTCAAGGTGAACTCCCAGGCCAGGGAGTCAGGGGAGAGCTCTGGCCAGAAAGGAAAGGCCCCTTCAGGAAGCGGAGGTGTGGGACCCACAAGGAGGAGGACCACTTCTGACACCAGGGCCTGGCAGGAGCCCGTGCTAACCTTAGGCTCATGCCCCAGCTTCCAGGGTGACGTGCCCCTGAGGGCACCTCCTGCCTCCTGCTCCCAGTGTCTGCTGGCCTGCAGCCTCCATCTCATCGCTGAGCCCCTCTCCTGGGCAGTTGCTCTCCTGCCTCCTCTGAGCCTGGTGCCTCCCCATTCTGCTTTCAGGGGCTCCCTGGGTGACTGTCGGGTCGGGGAGCCCAAGGCCATTCCTCGGAGCTGGTGCTGGATGCAGACACCAGGTGGGCAGCTCACGGGACGCTAAGGGGAGGGGCCCTGCACCAAAGGCCCATGCTCCCCAGGAGGACCAGGCACTCCTCGGACCACAGCCAAACGCTGGTCTGAGGACAGGGCTCCCCTTCTCCCTCCCCTGGAGACATCTGGGCAGCTGATGTAGAGGCCCCAGGGCGGGTCTCTGAGCCTGGGGCTGCCAGTTTGGGCAGGGAATCCTGGCTCCAGGGCCTTGGGCATTACCTCTTCATGTTGGGCCCCCTTCTTAGTGTAGAAGGTGCTCTGTGGTCCTGCAGTTCCAGATCCGGGGAGCAAGTGACACAGACAGCTGCCCTGCTTCTCCCTGTCTAGGCCTCTCAGGATTTATGGCCCCTATGTGGGTGTGTGTGGACAGAGGTCAGGGGCAGGGATCCCCACTGTGCTGCCTGGAGCAAGGGCCACCCAGCCGGCCCCCACCCCACCTGTCTGTCACGTCCACGACCTGCCCACTACTTACCAGCAAAAGGTAACACAGCCCTGCCCCTCAACACCCCCGCGCTGCATGCACCCACCTGCTCTGGCGAGCACCAGAGAGGTGTCCAGGTGTTGCAGGCTCTCCTCACCTTTGTGACCTGGGGCACCAGACCTGTGACATAATGATGTCACTCCAGAGGGGGAAATCCTGGGCAAATACCTTTGAGACCAAAATCAAAGAGAGAAATATAGTTTATTTCTCATAAGCGGTCACCCACTTCTGCTCCCCTGTGTCTCTCACAAACAGACTGCAGAAGAAGCCCCACCCACCCTCCCCAGTCCAGGTAAGCCCTCGCTCTAGCTCGCAAGTGGAGACGGTACTCCTCTGCACCCCCTGAAAACCCCCTTTACATGGAGATGCATTAAAGCCAGGCGAGAGATTCTGGGAATATTGCAAATTTACCCACAAATGAGTTATAAGAAATACATATGTGGTCATTCCTATGACCAAATACACATTTCCCAGGTATATTTGGTCTTCATCCACAGTTCCTGAAAACACTTGAGTCTTAAAGGTGAAACAGGTGTTTTGTCATGTTGATGAGAGACTTTTGGACCCCACCCAAGGGCAGACCTGGAGGCTGAATCGCCAGAGGCCTGACTCAATCCTGACTCTGCAAAGGAGCTCTTGCAAAACCCCGGGGGAAGGACTCTGTGAGCCTCCCTCCCCCTCCCCCACCCCTCCCACTCGCGCCCGGAGTTGCCTGCTCTGCTCCGTGCGCCTGCCTCTTGGTAGGAGAGACCTTCTAAACGTGGGGAGCCAGATTGCCTCCCCATGCCACCAGGCCGGACGCCAAGCTTCACAAGGGCAGAAACTCCTTTATTTGGGACCTTGCCCTGTGTCTTTCTTCATCTGCCTGTTCACTGGTGTCATTTATTAAACTGGTAAACCTAAGTGTTTTCCTGAGTTCTGTGAGCTGCTCTAGCAAATTAATCAAACCTAAGAGGGAGGTCGTGGGAGCCTCATATCTGTAGCCAGTAGGTCAGAAGCAAGGTAACTGCCCGGGACTTGCAACCGGCGTCTGGCGTGGGGGCTGGAGGCAGTCTTGTAGGACGGAGCCCTTAACCTGGGAACCTGGTGCTGTCTCCAGGCAGAAAGCGTCAGAATTGAGTTGAATTCTCTGACACCCTGCCGGGAGAACTGCTTGGTGTAAGTATGTGTGGGAAGACTCCCTCCCACATATTTACACACATTGAAATTGGGTCCAGGAACCTGAATGGACTTATACTACTATTACTGCTCTATATAATATTGTTATTGTTACACATATACACAGGGAAAAAAATACACCATTGCTTTTGGTGTTGGACGAGTGGGGATCACAAGACCCAAAACTGCTTGGCTGAAAGCTGGAGGGCCATTCTCACCTGCACGTTCCCCCGGCCCCTGGTAGGGGCTGATGGAGTGGAGCTCAACGCCTGGGCACAGGATTCTCCTGGAGCTGACTTTGTACAGACACATGTGAGGGGCCTCCAAAGGGTCAGAGTGAAGGTCGGCAAAACCAGCCTCATCAGGGCTCCAGAGGTGACTCAGCCTGGTGCAAGATCTCAAGATGCGAGAGCAATATACAAAACTCAGTTGTCTCCATATATTAGCAATGAACAATTTGAAATGAAATTAGGAAAAAATTTAATTCATATTAGCATTGAAAAAAGTAGAATACTTAGGAACAAATATAGCAAAAGAAGCACAAGATGTGCGCTGAGAAAAATTACAGATCTAAATAAATGGAGAACTATTCCACTGTCATGGATTGGAAGACTATTTTGTAAGATGGCAATTCTCCAAAAACTGATCTGTAGATTCAATGCAATTCCTATTAGACTCCTAGCAGGATTCTCTGTAGAAACTGACAAGCTGATCCTAAAATTTATATGAAAATGCAAAGGACTCAGAAGAGCCAAAACAATTTTCTAAAAGATGGACAAAATTGGAAGACATACACTGCCCTACTTCGAAACTTGCTATGAAGCCAGAGTTACAAAGGTTATGCCATAGACATAAGGATTGAACCATGGATCAGTGAAATGAAATTAAGGGTCCAGAAATAAGCCCACACACATATGGACAACTGATTTTTGACAAAGATGTGACATCCGATATGGAAAGACTAGTATATTAAAAAAAATGTGCTGAGACAATTGGATATCCGTATGCAAAAAAAAGGAAAAAAAAGAACTTAGACTTATAACTTACATGGTACCCAAAAGTTAGTGCAAAATGCATCATAGGCTCAAATGTAAAAATTAAATTATAAAACCTGTAGAAGAAAAAATAAACTTTTCATAGCTTTGGGTTAGGAAACAGAATACCAAAAGCATGATACTGTGAGGGGCTGAAGCAGTTTCAGACATAAAAATAAGACACAAAGCTCTCTGTAAAGTTACCCCCAGACCCTAGTCACGTACCAACTTATGAGAAACTAAAGGAAAAGATATAAATCCCATGAGAAACAGGATGTTCAACTAACCCCAGCCTATTTTTGCTTCTGTACATTGCTTTATTAGAGACCAGCAGTATCTCATGTTTCCTGCAGCAGGAGGGCAAAACAGGATGCTTAAGCTCCCCCAGCATTAAACAAGGAATATAGCTTGCTGAATTTAGGGAAGGCAGGAAAAGTCGAAAAAATTAAGCAAGATGCGGTAAAAATGCTTAAAAGGATGTTGTAACAGGGGCTCGGGGCTGCACTTGGAGAGCTTGCTCCCTGGCAGATGCGAGCGGGCTAAAATAAAGGGCTCCCCTTTTCTAATCTACTTTTCTGTGAGGACCTGTTTCCTTACTCCTGCTCTGGCGTGCCCGATCTGAGACCCACAACAATACGTGAAAGGAAACATAGATACACTGGACTTCATCAAAGTTAGAAACTTTAGGACTTCAAAAGATGCCATCAAGAAAGTGAAAAGACAAGGCACAGGGAGAGACTATTTACAAATCATATATCTGATGAAAGACTTGAATCCAGAATATATAAAGTTCTTAGAACTCAATAAGAAAACCCAGTTGAAAAATGTTCAGAACATTTGAATAGATCTTTCGCCAAAGATATGCAAGTGGTTAACAAACCCATGAAGGTGTGTTATCATCATTAGCTACTAGGGATGCAGATTCGAACCACCGTGAGACATGACCACCCTTCAGGGAGTTGGGGTCGTGGGCAGAACTGTCCCCCCAAAGATCCGTGCGTTGAAGTCCTAATCCCCAGTACCTTAGAATGTGACTGTATTCGGAGATATGTTGTTTTAAAGAGATAATTAAGGCAAAGCGAGGTCATATAGATGGGCCTTAGTCCATTCTGACTGGTGTCCTTGTAAGAAGAGATTAGGACTCAGGCACACGCAGAGGGGCCACCATCTGAAGACACGGAGAAGATGGCATCTGCACGCCAAGGAGAGAGGCCTCAGAGGGCCCCAAGACTGCTTACCCTCAACATCAGGATTCTAGCCTCGGGAGCTGTGAGGAAATAAATTCCTGCTGTTTAAGCTGCCCAGACTGTGGTACTTTGTTACGGTAACCACAAGCCATCAGATGGCTGTAATAAAAAAAGACAGGAACAAGTGCAGGTAAGGATGTGGGAAACTGGGGCCTCATTTACTGCTGGTGGGAATTCCTGATGGAGAAATATGAGCCTGTGTCCTGGCAAAGACTCCACAAAAATGTGCACAGCAACACTGTTAGCAAAGACAGCTGGAAACTGCCCAGAACCTGGTCAACAGGCAAATGGTAAAAGAGGCTATTTCCACACAGCTGGACAGCAAAGGGACACACCGCCAGGCGTGTCTCGGGCCCTGGAGGGTCTCTGTAGTGCTTGCTGAGCGCCTTTTGTATACTGGGCCCTGCGCAGGCGCTGGGACTCACAGTGACCCAGAAGGGTGGGCTTGCCCTGGGAGCGCTGACAGCCCAGAGCCTTTAGACGCTGACACAGGACACAGAGGCCCATCCCCGAGCGAGTGGGGGCCACACCCACGGCGCCTGAACCCAGTGGCCCAAGGGGGACAACAGCAGAAGGCTGGGCGCCCGACCAAGGTCCTGCCCAAGGGCCTCAACACCCACCGCCGAGGAGCAGCCGAGCTCAGCAGGCAGAGGGGTTGGCCCCGTAGTGAGGGGTGCGCGCCTGAGCGTGTGCGCGCGTGACGCGGGCCGCGCAGCCCCGACGTGGGGGGGTTCCATGCCGCGCAGACGCAGAGCTCCCTTCCCCCAGCCCGAGTCTCCCTGGCAACAGCAGCCTCGCTCCCGGCCAGCCCCTCCCCCGGTCCGCCCCGCCGCTGCGAAGCGTCTGGAACCGCATCCTTCCTCCGCATCTTCGACCTGCGACCGCATCCTACCGCAGCTGTCGGCTGGAGCCGCCTGTGAGCCATTTCCACGTTCTGCTTGTGGAGTGGGGCAAGGGGGGCAGAGTGTGCGGGTGTGCAGGTGTGTGTCGCGGGTGTGCGGTACGTGAGTGGGTGTGCAGCGCGCGTGCGGCGGTGGAGGTGGACACTGCCGCTGACCGGCCGGCGGCCGGGCCAAACCAGGGCCCTCCTTTGGGGTCCTTGCTGACCGGAGCAGGGCTGCTGTCCCCAGGCCTCCCGGACAGTCGGGGGCTCCGCCAGGCGAGTCGCTGCCCGGACCATCCAGAAGGGCGTGGGTGTCCAGCCTTGCCCAGACTCGACGTGCCGCCCGGATTCCCTGTCCTCAGCAGAGCAGAACAGCTCGGGTAGGGGTCGGACCGGTGCACATCACTCCCCTCCCCCACAGTGACTGCAGCCCCCTAGCCGACAGCCAGCTCCACCCCTGCAGGTGTGAGGGAGCCAGTAGGAGCTGGGCGTCCCCAAGGTGGGGGAGGTGGGGCAGTGGCAGTTCCAAAACCCTCTCCGCTCTGTCTGCGACGGACTGGGGAGGCGGAGGGAGAAGAGGCGTCGAACGCACCAGAGCTCAGAGAAGCCCTGCAGACATGGAGGGGGTGGCCTTGGTTGGGGGACTGCGTGGCAGGGAGATGATCATTTTTCCAGAATCCCCTGCCGCAGGCTGTGGACACGAAGCCACAGGTGGCTGGCTGGTGACGGGGAAGCTGAGGCAGGATGCGGGCCTCTCAGAGCTGGGCTGTCGCCCGCGGTCCACCTGTACTTGAACCCGAGCCAATCCCATGACCTGCAAGGCTAAGGGCGGGAGGGCTCCTGGGCGGGGGGCTGCGGCGGGGGCGTCTGCCTGGTGTCAGCAAGGTGAGCAGGCCCCCTGCACTCCGCAGTCACACGCACGTCCGAGGTGCGCAGGACTCGTGCCCGGCCCGCGCCTGTGCGCACTGACGCAGCATGGCGGGGGGCGGGGGGAAGCGAGCTGTGACGTGATCTGCAGCCGAGCTTCCGAGGGCTTTCGGCTTCCGTGGACTCGCCCCTTCCATCCATCCGTCCAGTCACCCATACTTCCGTCCGTGCATCTGTCCATTCATCAGTCCATCTTACAGCACAGCCTTTCGGCTCATCCAGCGCCCCTCCCCAAGCATCGGAGAGATGTGCACCCTCCCCCGCCCCCCGCCCACACACAAGGGCGCATAGCAGGCGGGGACCTAATGACCCTCTGGAGAAGATACAGTAACAGCGCAGGAGGGAGGGCGGGGTCCGGGGGGAGGACTAGGGACAACCCACCCCGACTCCACGGAACTCCGTCGTGCGGAAGCCCGGCCAGCCTTCCCAGAGAAGGGAATGCGGCGGGGCGGGGCGGGCGGTGGAGGGGAGTGGGGATGGGGTCTCCACATGCGGCCCAGCCCCTCGTCCAGCGTTCTCCCTGGGGCCTGGAACCAGATGCAGTGTCCACAGGGCGCCCCCGAATGGCTCCTTTTTTCCACGAAGACCGGTCATCGCCGGCCTCTCTCCGTTGCCATGGAAACCCGCGATGACGTAACGTGGACCTCATGTTAATCTGAGAGTTGGGGCTTACGTTTGGCTCCGAGGGGACCCCAGGGGCGGAGCTCCTTATTGGGAGGGGCCTCCAGTGGGTCAGGGGGAGACCGCGGCCCTCGGCCTCCCAGCGGGCGTGGCCACCAGCCCGAGACGTACAGGGTGAGGCGCCCTGCGCCGCCCCTCGGCGCTCTGTTCTGTTAACCACAGGCTGGGTCTGCGAGCCGCTAGGGCTTCCGCCCCGAAGGCCCCCAGCCTCCTACCCCTGGTGGTGCGCCCCTCCCGCCGCCGCCAGGCTTCCCCCAAGGCCTGGGCACTTGCTGCCGCACGACGGTCTCCTGTCGCTCCTTCCCTCGGCGGCCGCTTCCGCGCTTTGAGCCTGTTTTCTCCCGACCTTTGCATGTTTCTGATGGCTCCCTGTCCATCTCTGCATCGCAGCGCGCGTGGTCTGCAGGCCCGCGTGAAGAATGACCGGCTGCCCCCCCACATGGGGCAGGTGCAGAAGTGCCCGCGCGTCCTACCCAGGCTGAGCTCGGGTCAGGGCCCGACGCACCCCAGAAAGAGTCCCCTGGCCTAGGGGTGGTAGTGTGTGGCACCTGGCTGGGCAGTAAGGCCCGGGGCCAGGCGCGCACATCCAAAGACGGGCCTGGGCTCAGTGCCCCGACGACCCTCCTCCCCGGAGCTCCCGGGGTGTCCATGACTGGGATGGCCTCTTTCTCGACCCATGCTGCGGCAGCTTCCAGCCTGCCCCCCTCCCACCTGTCCTGCGCTCCTATCTGCGGCCAGACGGGGTCTCCTCCTCTGCCCCCCCAAACGGCGTGGGGATCGCACAGGGGGCGTAGCCGCTGGGCTGGAAGAGCGTCACCTTCCTGCCTGGTGGGGGGCTTGGTGGGGCTGTTACAGGGAGAGGCGTTTGGGGATGGTGAGGTCACCCTAGAACATAAGTTTGATGGTTCATAGGTACCCCAATCTTTGTAGGGTGGGTGCAGGCAGGCCACTTCCACAGCCCCTGGCTGCCCTTCACTCCAGCAGCCCTCCCAGGAAGGGGGCAGGAGGCAGCCAGGGCTCAGGTGCCAAGTGCTGTGCCACCTTTGTTTAGCGAACATTGGGGTCCATCCTGGGAGAGGACTCTGTCACCTTTCTGTGTTGGTTTTTTCATTTGTTATTAACCTTTTTTGTTATGAAACATAACAAATATTCACAAGAGGACATAAATCAGTTTGTCATACATGAACCCCAAGCATCCATCACCTAGGTGAGAACTAGTACCATGCGCCTAGCCCCCAAGGGCACCACTGCTAGACTCTCCAGATACAGGAGCAGTTGGCTGGCCTCTAAACGCGTGACTGGTCCCTAAAGTCCCGGCTGGTGTTCCCTTGGTCTTGAGCCTACCTTTGTGCCTGGCTTCTTTGGGCCAACGTTTTCCTGATATCCAGGGCTGTTCTTGCACGGAGCTGGAGTTGCTCTCGCCCATTGGCTCAGTGTTGGGACCGCCTCCCTTTACGTACTGGTCCCACTCTGGCTGATGTCTGGGGTGCACACGTCATGCATGCCCACCTTTCTGCCGGGTGTCCACAGGAGCAAGGGCTCTTCACAGGCTCAGCATCAGCAGATGAGGCAGGTGGACCCCACCCAGGGGCACCTTTTGCATTTTGATGGGCTTCCCCATGGCTCCTCATGCTGGTTCTAATTTGTCTTCCTCAAGAACTAATGAGGGTGAGCACCTTTTCAGTATTCATGGCCGTTTGTCCATTTTCCTGTTGGGTTGTCAGTTTTTCTTTATCAACTTGAGATATTCTTTATATATTTTAGATATTTGTATTGGTGTCCTTGGGCTGCTATAACCAATCAACACAACTGGTTGGCTTAAAACAGACTCAACCATGCTGGAGGCAAGCCAGAAATTAGTGTCAGCAGGGTCTCCCTGTTTGAGGCTCTCAGGGAGCCTCATTCCTGCCTCTTCTGGTTTCTGGGGGCCCCAGGTGTTCCTTGGCTTGCAAGTGCACCCCTCCATCTTCTGCCCTCCATCCTTACAGCCTCCTTTGTGTGTGTGTCTCTGTCCAAATTTCCCCCTTCTTATGAGGATGTCAGTCTTTGGACTGGGGTCCATCCTAATGCAGTATAACCTCATCTTAATTTGATCACATCTTCAAAGACCCTATTTGCAAACAAGGTCCCATTCACAGGTGTGCAGGTTAGGGCTGGACATACCTTGTCAGTGACCCACAAGAAGCCTGTGTTTGCATTCAGGCTGTACACGTCTTCTCCCAGTCTTGGTTTGTGTTTCTGTTCTGTGAAGGATGTGTTTGATGAGCAGTCCTTCATTTTTTTTTTTTGGTATCATTAATCTACAATTACATGAGGAACGTTATGTTTACTAGACTCCCCCCTTCACCAAGTACCAAGTACCCCCCACATACCCCATTAGTCACTGTCCATCAGCGTAGTAAGATGCTGTAAAACCACTACTTGTTTTCTCTGGGTTGCACAGCCCTCCCCGTGCCCCCCCAACATTATACATGCTAATCATAATACCCCCTTTCTTCTTCACCGCCCTTTCCCCTCCCTTCCCTCCCATTCTCCCCAGTCCCCTTCCCTTTGGCCATTGTGTATATGTACCACATCTTCTTTATCCATTCATCTACTGACGGACACTTAGGTTGCTTCCATTTCTTGGCTATTGTAAGTATTGCTGTGATAAACATAGGGGTGCATCTGTCTTTTTCAAATTGGGCGAGCAGTCCTTCATTTTAATGTAGTCTTTCTATCAAATTTTCCTTTGATGGGTAGTGCCATTTGTCATATTGAAGAACTCTCACCCTCCGTGAGGCCAGGAAAATCTCTCCTATAGTATCTCAAAGATGCTTTCCCAACTTAGGTTTATCTACCTAGAGGTTTTTGTGTGTGGTGTGTGGCAGGGGCCCGTTGACTGTTCCACTGTTCCCTGGAGGTGCCCATCCCCTGCTTTGCAGCAGTGTATCTATTACAATCCACGGCCCACATATGTAGGGCATGTCACATGCGTCTCTGCCTGCCATGCAGCACCACCATATGGCCTCAGTTCCACCCCTGTGTCACACGGCGGACATCTGGCAGACCATCCTTCCCCAGCTCTCTTCCCCTCTGCCTCCATATAAATTACACTGCTTGTCACATTCACACAAATCCTGTTGGACTGTTGATTGAATTAACTGATTCTACGGATACCTTTTTGGGGGGAAGGCCATTTTTAAACATGAAACTTCCAAAATCCATGATCATATCTGTCCCCATTTATTTAAGGAACCTAGGTCTTTGTGTTAGTAATGTTGTAACTGTTTTCCATGGCTTTCCACAGAGACGGCCTTCTTAGCTCTTGTTAGACCTATTCCTGAGCATTTGATATTTGTGATACTGTGTAACTAGTACTTTGAAAAAGTTATTTCTAATTTTTGTCACTGATGCATAGGAATAGACTTGACTTCTGAATACTTTAAGTCCATCAACCTTACTAAACTCACTTTTCAATCTTATAATTCATCTGTAGCTGCTTTTGGATCTTCACTACACAAAAGATATTTGATTTGTGAATAATGAGGGTATTACCTAATCTTGTCCAGGCCTGTATCTCTTACTTTTTTCCTGCCCTCCAGCTTGGCTAAGACCTCTAGCACCATGATTTACAGAGCTGATCATAAAGGGTCTTTTGTCTCCTTCCTGACTTAAAGGCAGAGGTTTCAATGGTCACTTCCGATACGGATTGCTATGGGGATTCTTGTGAATAACCTTTATCAGATTAAGAAAATTTCCTTCTGCCCTTAATATGCTAACAGATTTTTTAAATTGTGCATAAATGCTGAATCTCACTGAATACTTTTTCAGATGTTAAACTAGATTCTGTTTCCAGAGTACACTCAACCTTTTGTGATGTGTTACATTTTTATATCTTGCTGGATTCCATTTGCTTGCATTTCTTCTGGGGCTCTTTGCGCTGGTGTCGGTGGGTGGGAGTGCCAGCGATGTCCTCACTCAGTGCTGCCTTTGTCAGGTTTTAAGATGGAGGTTATGTTGGCCTCAAGAACTGGAACTTTTCTCTGGGAGAGTTCTGTATGAAATTTGCATTATTTCCTTAAGCAATGAGTAGGATTCACTGACACTGCCCAGCACCGAATTCTTTGTTGGAAGGTTTTAATGACAGACTCAATTTCTTAGTGAATATAGGAACTTTCTTCTGATTGAGTACATTTCGTTTTTCTACTTTTTTAGCTTGCAAGTCATTTTCTATGTTCTTTTTCCCTTACGGGTCAGCCACAAGGTGAAATCATTTGCACCTCCCGAGTCAGGGGAGCCTCGCCTCCTCCAGCCCCCTGTGGACACACCATCACCCTGCCCTGTGCAGCCCAGGTCCTTTCTGCAGCCTTTGTCACTTCCTGCATCTCCAGTAGAGTTGCCAGATAAGACACCGGATGCCAGTTAAATTTGAATTTCAGGTAGAAAATGGCTTTTTAGTCTAAGTATGCCCTGTACTGCACATACTACATGGGACACAGCAACACTAATAAACCCTATCCATTCCTTATCTGAAACTCAGATTTACTGAGACTGGCCACCACACTCTCTGGGACCGTTTTCTGTGCCTGCAGTAGCTCCTTGGAATGTCCTCTAGAGCAGGTTGCTTGGTGGAAGACTCTGCTGGTGTGGTGTAGGGGCGGTCAGTGGGGCGCGGCTGTGGGGCCTAGGGAGCGTGAAGGACTAGAAGCTCATGGCTGGACCACTCACCCAGGGATGAGTCCTGGGGGCCCACCCAAGCTCCGGTGTGAGGCACATCGGGGCCAGCCCAGGACCCTCTCACTCCAGAGCCGGCTGGCATGGACAGCTGCTAGGTGACCAGTGGGTACTGACCCTGCGTCTGCCTCTGGACAGGAGAAGGGCCGCCATCCACCATGGTGAAGCTGGGCTGCAGCTTCTCTGGGAAGCCAGGCAAAGACCCCGGGGAACAGGATGGGGTTACCACGGACAGCGTCCCTCTGATCAGCCCCTTGGATGTCAGCCAGCTCCAGCCACCGTTCCCTGAGCAGGTGAGGGGTCTGGGCCAGCATGGAGGCCCTTCTCAGCCTTCCGGGAGAACAGAGGGGTGTGCGGTGAGGTTTATTTGGTTGTGGCCTCCGGGATATGGGAAAGCAAGCAGAGGAAGAGCCATCTGGGCCCAAACTGCTGTGGGCCGCAGGTAATCTGTGTGACCTAGTCCGCTCCCTGGTCACTCAGAGCCACCCTTTTCTCATCTGTAAATGGGGGTAAACTGGCCACAGGGCAACTGTGGGGACTCAAATGCCATCTGGAAGACAGCACCCAGCCCACAGTAGGTGGTATCCAGGTGGGGCTCAGCAAGGAAAAATTCCTGCCTTTCCACTGCTAGGCATGGTCTGTCTTGGGTCAGGACCCTAGTCATGGGCAAGTGACAGGGAGGGGAAGTGACAGGGGTGCTTTTAGCAAGAATCGGAGAAGCGGAGCTCAGCCTCCAGTATAGCCCTGCCTGAGCCCAGATGAGCTCTGGAGTGAGGGTGACACTGAGTCATCTCAGCCCAAGGTGTGTTGGCAGTTCTCTGTAGCCCTGCAGGTCAGCTACTGGCTGGGGACCGTGCAGGCGGGTGCACCTCCCGGCATTGCCCCATGTGCTGCTCCTGTTTGCCAAGGGCAGTTCTCCAGCAATCTGGGTGGGCCTTGGCTGCATGTCCTGCAGTTCTGGACCTGGTCTCGATGGACACTGTGGGAAGGCTCAGCCCTTGACCCTTGGTACCTCACAGGACTGCACCTGCCTGTGGTGGGGCCTCAAGACTCCTGGAGCCAGAAGCTCTGGGTGGGGAGAGCTGGCACCCTCTGAGCTAAAGGCAGCCAGCAGACAGGAGCTCGTCCGTGGTCTGGCCAGCCCCAGCAGGCTTGCAGCATCCACCGTCCCTGGCCTCAGCTTGTAGCCCCTGGAGCCCGGGCAGCCCTGGCAGACAGTCAGCACCCACATACTGTCAGGCAGGACCCCAGGACCCTCTGCTCCAAGCCCTTCCAGTACAGGGTCCCCTCAGGTCATCTTTCTTCCCAGGTGGTCATCAAGACACAGACGGAATACCAGCTGTCTTCCCTGGACCAGCCAAAGAAGTTCCCTGACCTGGAGGCCCAGAAGCTGGCCTGCAGCCACCCAGAGGAAGGGCGCAGGGTAACTGCCTCCCTGCCCCCAACCTGGGCTGCCGGGGGGCCATCCCGTGGGTGGGCTAGGCGGGCTGGGCGGGCTGGGTCCCCCAGGAATCCACCCTTTTGGGAGGCAGGGGGGTGCCTGGGTGGCCTGGGGTGGCAGCCTTTCCGTGCCCCCCGACCCGCAGCTGCACCCCCCACCCCATCCCTCCTCTTGCCGTGAGGTGATGACAGTGAGAGTGCCGCCACTGTAGCGCTCCCTCTGGGCAGCGCCTGCCGCCACCCACCTGGGTGGGTCATGTGCTGCTTAGCATGGAAAGTCACTTCTGCATGTCTGGCAGACATGTCCTGCCGTCCTTTTTAGCTCTTAACCTTACCAATAAGGTCTTTTATCATTGTTACTGTACAATTTCCAAAGCCTTCCGTTTTTCCAGTGAAAAACTGACCCTCTTTGCCTCGGAGGTGGAAGCGCTGCCCGCACAAAGGCCAGTGAGCCTCAGCTGTGTGGGCAGCGCCCCCGGGGCTCCCTGCCCCTGCAACACCTTTGCCTCCACTGGATCCCTGTCCTTCCCCGGCCCTGCAGCTGCCCACCGCGCGGATGATCGCCTTCGCCATGGCGCTCCTGGGCTGCGTCCTGATCATGTATAAGGCCATCTGGTACGACCAGTTCACCTGCCCTGACGGCTTCCTCCTTCGGGTAAGACGGAAGCCGGGGTCTGGGGGTAGGAGCCCGTGGAGAGGCTCCTGTGCTCCAGTGACCTCCCGGCAGAGCGCCGGGGAGGGCCCCACGGCGGCCTCCCTGTGCAAGTGTGGGGGACGGGCTGCCCAGCCCGCTTCCCCGCGCCGCTCCAGAGCAGACCGGGGTGTTTCCGGCTCTCGTGGGGGTGCAACGCGGGGGTGACGGGGTGACCCGGGCACTCGGGGCGCCCCCTGCCGGCTCCCGCTCGTCCTTGCTGACTTGTGGAAGCGTTTCCACGTAATGACATCAATGATTACGGCGTATTTGGCAAATATTTTCTCTCATCCTCTTTTTTCACACTTAAATTATTTTTGAAAAATCATTTTTAGTGTACTTTTCCAAAACTAAATTTTCAGCAGTGAAGCTGCTCCTTGACGCTTCGTTTCTGCGATCAACAACTCTGGGCAGTATTTCAAAGGTGCGCGCACGGCTGGTGGCGCCGCTGCCTCCCGGGAATTCCCTCGGTGTCCGCTGGGGGGCGCGCTCCCCAGCCGCCCCCCTTCACTCCTAAGCGGCAGCGCCCACCCTCGTGGTGAGACGGCCGTCTCGCGCCGGAGCCTCCAGCTCTGAATCGGAGGCCGGCCTTAGTGGCTTCAGATTACGGCAGAACTAAGTATTTAGGGACATGGTCTGCAGTGTTCCGGAACTGCTCGACAGCGTCGGGGCGGAGAGCCCAGAGGTGGCCGCCCTTCCCGCGTCGAGTCGTGGCCGATGTCACTAAGAACGCACCCTCTTTGCACACCTGAGCCCGGGGGCTGCGGCTAGCCTCTTCCCGGCCGCACTGCCCTGCTTTCCGCGCCCCGCCCCTGACCGGCCCCTTCCCGCAGCACAAGATCTGCACCCCGCTGACCCTGGAGATGTACTACACCGAGATGGACCCCGAGCGCCACCGCAGCATCCTGGCGGCCATCGGGGCCTACCCGCTGAGCCGCAAGCATGGCACCGACACGCCCTCGGCGTGGGGGGAGAGCTACCGCGCCGTCAAGGGGGCGCCCAAGGCGCCCACCCCGGCGGGCGCTGCTGCTGCTGCTGCTGCGGCGGCGGCGGCGGCGGCGGCCACCGAGCCCCCCGGGAAGCCCTCGGCGGCGGGAGAGAAGGAGGCGGCGCCGAAGGCGGTGGGCAGCGCGGAGCCTCCGGCCCTCCAGTGACAGACTCCGCGTCCGCAGCCCGGGTAGGTGTGCCTCGTCCAGGCCCCGCTCCGGGGCGCCGGCCCGGCCCGCCAGAGGTGCGACCCTCCGTGCGGCCCGGGGCCGGGTCTGAGCGCCTGGAGGGGCGGGGCGGGGGCGGGGGGGCTTTCTTCCCGCGCAGGGGGTCTCGTGCCGCCGCGGCCCGCTCACCCTCACGCCTGCGCCCTCCGTCCCGGCAGCGCCCCCCGGCACCCCCGCCCGGCCCCGCCCGGCGCCTCCCGCCCTGTGGTCGTGCTCCCGCTCCCAGGCCCCCCGCTGACGCCCCCGCCCCGAGAGCCCGCAGCTCTGTCGCTGTTCTCTGAGTAAAGAGTCACATCACCTGGGTCTCCCGTTTCTCCTGAGCGTTCTTGGTCCCGCCGGCCTTGCCCTTGCCCCTCAACTCCCGGGTGGGTGGGCGCCCGCGTCGTGCCTCCCGCCGCCCGGCCGGCGGCGGCGGCAGGGGTCGCTGTGCGAGCCGCCCGCGTGGACGGGGCCTGTCTGGTCAGTCGCTCGGCTGGAGACAATGAAATAAGCTCACCTCCGGCCACGGGAGCCTCGGGGCCCCGGGGTCCATCCTGAGCGCCGCCCACCCCACTTCCCCGCGTCCGCCAGCCCTCCGGAGCGGGGCGGCTCCCCTCGGGCGTCCCCGGCCCAGCGCGAGCGCCTGCACCCTGCCCTGGGGGCACCCGCTGCTGTCCCTGCGCCCCCGCGCGCCGCCTGCGGTCCTGAGTGACCGAGCGACCGCAGGAACGCGTGGCTCTGCGGGGTAGGGACCCGGAAGCTCGCCCTCTCCCCGGAGCTTGGAGCTGGAGGCGATGCGGGAGGTCGGAGCGGCCCACGGACCCGCCCCCGACTCCCACCCAGCAGCTCGCACCCCAGCGCCTCCAGCCCCACCTCCCCTCTGCCGTCAACTCCCGGAGGTGGAGGCCACCCCGCCTGGGTGGGCCCGCAGGACCCGCAGCACCTGTGCCGGCTTTAATCCCGGGCCCAGACATCCCACCTTGTGGGAGGTGAGCTCAGGCCTAAAGGGAGCCAAGGGCTGGGGGTCGGGGGTGACAGAACCGGGGGAGACCACAGCCGGGGGAGCCCACAGCCGGAGGAGACAGACCAGGCCGGACTGGAGATACCTGCGCTGGTGCGCAGCAGGCCTACAGCCACACCCCACACTGGTGGGTGGGGTGGGGGGCGCGCTCTTGGCTCCAGTGCGGAGCCGCAAGACTTGGGTGAGAAGTCAGAGGGGTCCCCTCAGTGTCAGGGAATGCCACCAGGGCTGGGCCCAGTTACCCTGACCTGATTGGCTAGTGTAAGTCTGGGGAAAGGAAATCGCCGGGCAAAACACCTCTAAAAACCGAAATGAGTCAAAGGGAGAAATAAAGTTTAAAATCCGTTTACTGCTCACAAACTTCAGTACCGGGCCTTTTCTCCCTTTCCTGCTCCAGCAGAAGCAAAACCAGCCCTCCCCTAGCTGGTGCAGATAAGCCCTTCTCGCCCAGGTAATTACCCACTGATATGGAGCTGAATTCTCTCCACCCCTGAGGAATGATGCAAATGCACTAAAGCCATACCTCCTTCCACGTCTGAACACCTGTTGATATGCAGCTGTACTAAAGCCAGGCGAGATATTATGGAAATATTACAATTTTACGCACACTAGGTTGGGGGTCTGGGCAGTGGAGCAGTTGGCGCTGCTCAGTGGCCAGACGGGAGACCTGGAGGGAAACCATCCAGGTGCGCTGTGCCCGGCATCCTCACCTCCCCTCCTGTCCTTCCGCCCTCTCCTCCCCTCCCTCCTGTCCTCCAAAAGGCAGAACCATACAAAAGTTGTCTGAGATAAGCCACCCACCGCCTGAAGGGGATCAGAAATCAGACTTACTAGAAGTCGTCCTAGTTCAGCCTCTCTGTGTATCTTTTTGCAAAAACAGTCAGATGCAGGTGCATTTTAAAATTTCTCCTACTTCACATTTTTTCCTGAAAAGTTTTTTCCCCACAGCACAATGGCTAATTCGCCAATAGATGTCCCACAAGTCAGTGCTGGCAGTAATTACCTGGGACCAGCACAGACCGCACGCACAGGCTGGGCACTCCCCTCAAGTCAGACCCCCTCCCAAGTATGGGCCCCTGTGCCACTTGCATTTCTGTCCAGCCAGACTACAAACTTGGGTCATCCCCCTTCAGGTTCAATAACTCAATCGATCGACCCACAGAACTCAGGAAAGCACCTTACTTAACAAGATAACCAGTTTCTTATCAAGGACACAGCGCCGGGCCACAGATGGACGAGACACAGGGTGAGGTGTGGGCAGGGAGCACTTCCTGACGGGTCCACCCACCGGGGAGCTCTCCCATCTCCCGGCTCTTGGCTTTCAGGACCCAGTGTCCAGGCCCCGCCCACTCCCTGAGGTCTTTCTAAGCAGCCTCCATCCTGAGGCCATCTAGGGGCCCCACCTGAACCACCTCATTAGCATAAACTCAGGTGTGGTTATGGGTAACTGAAGACACCCCTGTCACTCAGGATGTTCCAAGGGTTTTAGGAGCTCTGCACCAGGAACTGGGAACCAAGGCCAAAAATACTTACTGCATCCTTGTCACACCGTGTTCACCTGCACCCCCACAGCGAGCACAGGGACTGTCCTTCCCTTCCGGGCCCCACAGCCCGGAGCGCAGCTGCACCTGTTCACCCCGCCCCGTGTGGGCATTTAGGCCGTCCACACTAGTTTGCCATAAAAACAAAGCTGCAGTGAGGAACTTATGTATTTTTATTGTTGGAGATTTATCTTCAGGGCAAATTCCTAGAAGTACAATTGCTGGGTTAAAATTTTTTAATTTGTAAAATTGTAAAATTTCGTGACAATTACAAATTAAAAAACAGCTTTTCTCAAGCTTTAAAGCTCATTTAAAGCTTATTATAAACCTAGTAATTTTTTGTTTGTCCTCATTTATTCTTTAATATTTTACTAACTTATACATTAGATATATTCAGCTTCTCTAAATTCTTAGACATACGATGAATGCGACAAACTCAGTTAATTAGACTCCCTTGGTATTTCACTCTGATCATAAACTGATACATCAGATTCTCCTGAGCAATTTGAACATCTAGTAGCTCAGACCTATAAACTATCAAAACCTCTGTGAACTTAGCATTTGTGCACTGCCCACATTCAGTTAGTCGGAACTTAAAATCAGTCTACTCAGACCTTAAACTAAAATTCTTAAACTAAACCTCAAGGTTGAGATAAAACTCAAACCATCTCAAATGAAAACAAGTCGCAAACACTATAATGTCTTTCATGCTTGCTTACTTACATGCTGCCTCAGGCCAGAGGGTATGGGTTCTGGCCAGGGTTAGGGTGTGGGGTGGGACTCAGCCCGTGCCCCCGCCAGGCCCCTGCAGTGGCTGACCCTTCGTGAGTCGAGCTCCGTTTTCAGCCCAGGATCCTATGCATCCTCTGAACATCCTTTACATTTTAGTCACACCCAAAATTTACTGCAAAATCTCTCACCAGTTGGAGGTGGGGAGAGGAATCCCATGCCAGCTTCCCGCAGGTGGGGTGTAGGACCTCACAGTGTGGCCTGCAGGGTGACCAGGGTGACATGCCCCAGGACCCATAACCAGGCCAGCCTCCCGCTCACCACCCTCGGGGGCAACACCGAGGCACTGCCGTTTGTGTGCACACTGGTGTAGGGGAGGCCTGAGTCTGGCTCACAGCCCGGGAGGTTCCTCCTGAGGGAGATGGAGATGTGGAGGCTTGGATAGCATCAAATGCAACGTCCAAGAGTTAAAAACAATTCATCCTTCTGTGGCATCTCACTACACTGACAGACAGTGACTGCTGTGGGGTATGAGGGGGAGTCGATACTAAGGGTGAATGTAATAACCACATTGTTTTCCTTGGGAAACCTTCATTAGAGCGTATATCAATGATACCTTAATAAAAAAAAAAAATCCTTAGGCACAGAGCCTGTCCCAGGTCCACTGTCCGGTGAGAGCCTTGCAGGGATGAAAGGTTCAGGGAGGCTGTGAGGAGTCTTGTGTGCTCAACTGGGGAGGAAATCCCTGCACCCACAGACCAAGCTGGGAAACGTGCAGGGGGCCTGGACGACGTCCCTCCCGGCGGCACTGCTCGGGGCCTGGTGGTCAGCCCTGCTGCGACCTGTGCTCTTTGAAGATGTGCTTCAATGTGAGCGATCTGACCATAATGTGAATCTTGTCTGGGTAGGTGTGATTTCCAGAGCACTGCCCAGGCTGGGGATGCACGCACACACACACGCAGGCACACGCATGTGCACAGCAACCAGTCCCACGGTGCACCAGCCACGTGCACCACTCGCACTATCTCCTGGCTACACACCCCCTTCCTCTCACCTCCTCCCACCTCTCTGTGGGAGGGTCGTGGTGAGGGCAGCTCTGGCTCTTCCCCCACTGTCCATGGGGGGCTCACCTGACCTACAGGGCAGAGCCTAGCCAGGAGGTCTGTCTGTGGAGGGACCTAGGGACCTGGGGGGAGGTCTGAGAGTCCCTGGGGGTCACTTCTTCCAGAGCCAGGCCCAAGCTGCAGTGGGGGTCAGCAGGATGTGGCAGGCTTGTCCTGGAGACCTGCCTGTCCTGTGTCATGGGAAGCCTGCTGGGTCAGGGAGGGGCTGCTGCGGAGGCCTCGGCACCTGTGGCACAGAAGCCCCTCGGCGTGGGCATGGTGGGTGGCTTGCCGGGACTGAGGGCAGACCTTGGACAACTGCCCGGGTACTTGGTGACCTTTGGAGGGGCTCCGAGGGCTGGTTAGAACCTCAGCCCTCCCTGGGGTCCACAGACCCCAGCCTGCCTGAGCTCATCCTGCTGAGAATGAGACCAGGACAGGCCAGAGACACTTTTGGGGGCATCTGCACGAGGTGGAGCTCCCAGGGCCATGGGAGGTGCCACCTTCCACACCTGGCAGGGCAGTGCCTTTGAGGGCTCTGTGGGGTGGGAGACCAAGGGGCCTGGGGCAGACAGCAGGGGTCAGCACTGCCCTCTGCTGTGAAGGTTGTGGCTCCCGGGTGTTGCGGTGTGCCTGGGGGTGGGGACTCCAGCAGCCTGGGGACAGGGCCCATCAGACCCCCAGCCACTGACTGCTGGCACAGGTGGCGAGGCCAAGGGGCCAGGGTAGGTGGTGTGGCGCAGGGCAGCCCTGTGTCCAGGCTGTTGCAAGGTGGCTGGGGCCCCAGGGTTCTGGAGCCCCAGGTCCGGGGGTGCAGCTCTGGGGTGGGTGTTTGGGGCTGGTCAGCATGGGCAGTCCCTCAGAGAACCCCCTCCGGACCCTGCTCTCTGGTGGGCACTCTGGGGGACTGTGCCTCCGCAGTGATGCTGTTTGGCCCCAGAGGAGGCATCTGTACAGGGACTGGGGGGCTGACCAGATGCAACCCGGGGAGCCAGAGAAGGGGCTGGCTGAGGCAGGGACTGCAGGCTGGAGGGACGAGGGCCCACAGACTCAGCCTCCTTGGCATTCCTGTCCTGGGCACAGTGTGAAAGAGGCTTGGATTTACCACAGCCTGGGTGAAAGATCAACAGTGTAGTAAAATGGTTCCTTTAAATGTTTTCCTATATTGAGTATACACAAACCTGTCATTTCATGACTTAAAAAATCTAGGCCTTCTGGAGTGACAGGCCTATCACTTCCTTTTGGTCCACCCATCCCACAGTACAGCACGAAGAGGCAGGAATGCCCCTATCATTATGTGGCTCGCCTGCTGAGCAGTGGGGCCAGGTGCATGTGCACGTGTGTGTGTGCATGTGTGTGCACACAGGGCCTCGACCCCAGCCCTGGGCACTGTCCTGGGCTCCCAGTGCTACTGCCAGGAGTCCAAGTCCTGAAAGGCCCGACCAGTTGCCTAGCTTCATGCCAGGGTTCTGCATTCTCTGGCACAGCCTAATTCTGGGCACTGGGTAGACCCTCAGCCGGGGCGGGTGAGGCAGTGTGGCCTCGAATTGGCCCCTTGGTGCCCATATATGCCAGTTGTGCTTCCTGCGAGCTCGTCCCTGGCCCAGAGTGGGTGCGCTAGGCCTGCCGGGTCCTGATGAGGGACCTGACGGAGTCCAGGTGTGAGCTTCCTTCCCCACCTGGGGCCCTGACAGTGCCTCTACCAGGACATCTGAGAGACCCGGTGCCGGGGCCCGCTGGGGTAGGTTCTAGTGCCAAGCACTGCTCTCAGGCAAGTTCCAGCACCCAAAGCTGCCAGCGAGCCCTGAGACTCCCAGGACACTCCCCCCGCTTGGCAGTGCCCGCCACCACCTCTTGGAACGCTGGCTCCTCGCCTGCCCCCAGCCCTTAAATGTGCAGGGGAGCGAGGCTGACTTGCCACAGGGGGGCGCTGTGCTGGGCCCTGTTTCAGAAGCCCTCCAAGGCCTGGGCTCTTCCCTGGGACCCGGGCTTATGCTGTCTGACGTCTCTGATTATGCTGTCCCCTTGCCCAGAGCCCCCCCACTTCTCGGCCTCTGGTCAATCTCTTCTCAAGGGGGTCCTCCCAGGCAGGTGACTAAGCCAGACTCCGCACCAGCTTCCATCAGGATGCATGTCACGGCTTTGCCCTGCTGACACTAAGTGGACCACGGGGCGCTGGGTTGCGAGCGTGGTTTAGCAACAGGTCACAAGACTGTTCTCTTTCACAAGAGAAATGGAAATAGAGAAGTTTGTTATTCACAGATCCTGGAGGAAGCACACAACACGCCTCAAGAGGCCACTTGGGGAGGGCAGGGCAGGGAACCAGCAGGGGCAGGACATACCTTTTTCAGGGGCCATGGCTGGAGTGCTTTGGGGTTCCCTGAACAGGATGGGATTGGTCAATTTGAACCAAAAGAACAGGGTTTTGTTAAGGTTCATGGGGGTCTTTTGTAAGGGGCAAGTAAGGGAAAGTCCTGGGGGGCAGGAAGTTGTTTCTCACATGGGCTGCTGGGCATCAGATCAGGGACTTACCTTCGCTTGTGATGACGTGGCTGCTGTCTGGGGCATGCTGGCAGGGTGGTGAGGGCCAGTTTAAGGCCTCGCAGGATGCTTGGCCAAACAAAGTGAATGCAAGGCAGCGAAACCATGTGGCCAAGCTACACTCTTGACAGCCTAGCACTTGGCCATGGGCCCAAGGGCTCCCAGGAACATCTGCCTGGCACCCAACTCCAAATGTGGCAGGAGATCACCTGTCAGCTGCTCCTTACAGACAGGGAGACCGAGGCCCAGGGCAGAGCCCCAGGCCGCTCCACGCTGAGCATACAGTGGTACAGGTGTGGGGCTTGGGGGTCTGGCTCATTCCCCAGGATGGGCAGAGTGGAGGGGCCCTGGAGCTCAGCAGGGTGCTTGCTGGGTGACAGCTCCGTTTCATGCTGTCCTGCTGTGTCCCCAGCATCCAGGCCAGTTCACGTTATGAACAGCGTCAGCAGAGGTGCCAGAGACACCATGAAGGCACCTGCGCCTGGAGAGCCAGCCTTCGGGGGCAGCAAGGACAGGGTCAGCGCAGATGGAGTGGCCCTTCCCCAGGAGGGGAAGATGAAGGCAGGCGGAGGTCTTCATTTCAGGACTTGGCAGGAGGGCAGGAAGGGAGGGAGCATAGCAGACGGGGCACACCCAGTCTGGCATCAGTGGCCACAGACCCAGGCCTGACGGCGTGTCTATGCCGAGGACAAACGCAGGCCTCCCAGCTCCATCCAAGCGTAGCAGTGACCACCACCCCACAGGCCCCTGGTGTGCACAGCAGGAGCACAGGCTATCTGTGTGTGCGTGCCCAGCAGCCGGGGGTGTCCAGCCCAATTCCTTGGGGTCAGCCTGGTTTCTGTCTCGTCTCCTCACCCCAGCATGAAGGGCAGGTGCCTGGGGGGCTGTTCAGAGAGGGGCTCCAGGGCCCCAGCCACGCAGACACTGAATGGCCATCCAGAGATGGGCAGTGACTGTCCTCCCGAGGGGAGGCCAGTTCCTAAGAGGACCTGAGGGGCCCAAGGCAAGCCTGCTGCTCTCCCCAGCCTCCTCTCGGGTAGTTTGAACAATGCCTCTTGGGCAAACCGTCAGGCTAGAGCAAGATGCCCGGCCAGGTGAGCTGACATAGCTGCCTTTCCCCGGGAGCAGGCTCTGTGGGGTTCTCTGGGGTGCAGGGGCCTGAGAGCTGCCCAGCGCTGCACAGCTAACCCGGCTGCCCCTCCTGCCGTCACACGAGGTCACTCCCAACCCCACCACGCCTCTTCAGCTGCAGGAAGACAAACTGGCAGAAGCACAGACCCAGCTCCAGGTGGCCGCCAGCCCCTTCTGCATCCACGTCCTCACAGTGGGGGAAGTGCGCATGGGCCAGGCAGCAGGCGTAGCCACAGGAGAACTGCAGCAGGGCCTCCTGGAACAGACCCTCCCCCTCCCCCGTGGATGCCGCCTCCAGGAAGACCTGCCTGCACTTCTCCAGCAGCACATGCACGAAGTAGAGTTTGTTTGCTGTGTCGCAGCCCATGAGCACTGAGTGCTGTGCCAGCAGGAGGTTGGCCTCCCCCACTCTGAGGACCAGCTCCCGCATCTTCTTCTTGGAAAACCTCCTGGACCAGCACAGGGTGTTCACGGCTAAGACCATGAAGAGGGGGCAGAAAAACATGTTGCCGGCGATCACGAGGAACTGCTGAGCCGGTGCTTTTTCCTGGAGCCCCAGAATCAAGGGGAGGAAAATCAGTGCCAAGGAGATAATAATCAGGAAGATGCCGAGAGGGATTCTGCAGCCTATGTACCGGAGGCAGGAGCGGGGGGACTGCATGCCATTCAGGATGCCCACAGCATGCTTGTACACCTCGGGGTCCCCCAGCACCTCCTTCAGGGGGTCTGGGACACCCAGGGTGCTAAAGGTCCCCACCTTCCACGAGGGCAGGCTGTCCCTGTTGACGCAGTTTAGGGTCAGGAGGGTCTTCCCATTGTAGAGGGAGGAGGCCGGACGCAGGGCTGGTGGGAAGCGTGCCAGGAGGTGGTTGGGCGTGCAGAGGAGCTGCAGCGCCTTGCTGTAGAAGCAGCTGTCGGCGGCATTCAGGTATGTCAGGTGGCTGAGGTGCAGCGGGATCTGGCAAGGCCTCAGCAGGACCGGGATGACGGGCTTCCTCTCCAGGCAGGACCCGAAGAGCGACAGATCAGCCTCCAGGAGGCACCACCGGCTCTGCACAAAGTCCTGGCTCAGCATGAGCAGCACTTTCTGGCTCTGCTGGATGCACTCGGCCATGTTCTCCAGGACGTTCCTGCCGGGGGTGAAGTCCCGCTCGTGCAGGCAGACCTTCATTCCTGACAGGTCCGCCTCCAGGCGGCTGATGAGCCCGTGGGTCCACACGGCGTCCACGCTGCTGTAACTCACAAACAGGTGGAACTTCTCACCTGGCCTCAGCGGGGGGATCGCCGGGGCTGCACTGTCCTCCCCAGGAAGGGGATCCATGGGCTCCACCCCAAAAATCAGCCCTGATCTCCCACAGAGGACTTCCTTCAGGCTGTAAGAGATCAGGACAGACACACTGTGCAAAGGGGCGACAGCAGGCCACCTGGGTAGAGGGCACCGAGGTGTGCGACCCGTAGCGACCAGCCCAGGAAGAGGCAGCCATGGTGGTGACCCACCTGAACCTGCCAGGAGGTGGCCCAAGACTGCCAGCTTCCACAGCACTGCTCCCCCCATGTAGGCCTTCCTCCAGGCTATTCGGTGGAGCAAGTGGAGACTGGGGTGGGGTGGGGGTGTGGACCTCCGGGACACCCACTTGAGGGCCCAGCCCCAGCCCCCAGGGCCCTAGCCTCTGTGGGGGCCCACCTGAGGCCCTCCCCTCTGAGGTCTGCCTGCCTCTGGGTCTCTGCCAAATCCAAGTGACCTATGACCCCCACTCCATGCTCTCATGGAGTCAGCCACTGCTGTTCTCATCTGTGGGGCTTCACTGATGTCCACAAGACACTGGCTTTGGAAGGGTTGGGGCACACAATAGCCACATCTTCTAGTACGGCCCCCCCTACCCACCCCCAACACCCCAATCTCCACGTGCTCCACCCGATGGCCTGGAGGAAGGCCTACATGGGAGGGTGATGAAGAGGGAGCTCACCCCACCTGGAGTGTCTGCAAGAGGCTGCAGTGTCCGCCCTTCCCACCTAGCACGTCCATGTGCCTCTGGTACCACTCCCCACTCCCCAGGCCTCCACCTCATCAGGTGAATGAGGGCTCCGGGCTCCCCTCCCAGGGAGGGCCAAGCCACCTCTCACCAGCACCCACCAGGTGGGTAAGCAGGCTCCCCAGGCTGGCCTGGACCTGCCCCACCGGCCCACAGACACAGCCCCGTGTACCCACTGACCTGCTGAGCACGGGACTCAGGTGCTGTTCTGGGCACCAAGGGCCTAAATATTGCAGGTTCTCACCAGCCAGCACTGGCCACCCCTGCTTCCCAAATTCTAGTCCTCAGAGGAGGCCAGGGATCCTCCCAGCACTGTCCCTAGACAGAAGGTTCGCAGCCAACACTTTCTAGCGGCATCTCTGCTAAAACGAGGCAGTGGGAAAATGAAAGAAGGAAGCAGACAGAGGAAGGCACCTCATGCAGACGGGCGGGGTGCTGCGTGGTGGAGTGCCTGCTGCTGGGCCTGGCAGCCCGAGGCTCTGGCTGGACCCCCAGGTCAGGAAAATGGAGGCAAGATGGCCAGGAATCTCTCAGTCTGTCTGACGGTGATGCTGGACGCCCACAGGCACCTTGGCGGAAACCCTCCCGTGGGTGCTGGGCCAGGCCCTCCGGCTGGAGGCAGCAGCAGGAAGGCCCAGAGCTCACCGGACAGCTCCTGGTCAGTTCGGCAGGGCAGGGCTGGCCAGGGTCGGGGGTAGGAGTCACCCTCGGTGTCCCCAGGCCTGGCTGTGTCTTCCAAGGAAAGATAGGAACTACTGGGTGACCCCAAACAGCCACATCCGCCTCCAGAAACTCCCCGCCCTCCTGACCACTCACTCAGGCCGAGGGGAGGCCGCGGCCAGGAGGCCACACCCCTCCTCGTTGGCTTCCAGAAGCACCCCCACGCTTTGTAATCGCCCCTGCACCAGTTGTGCTGAGGAACCCAAGGGGGCAGCCGTCTGGGCCCCAGCGAGATGGAAGCAGGGAGGGAGGGGGTCTCTGGCAGGTCCTCCCACGCCCCGGGGGCCCTGTTTGCGCCTCTTCCTTCTGCTCTGGAACGACTGCTCTTCGCTCAGCGCCGCGCCCTCCCGGGCCTGGCTCCGCGGCCGGCGGGCTTCAGGGGATAGCTGCGGGGCTAGAGCCCCCGACCCTGCGGACCCCTTTGGGGCCGGGCGGTCGGAGAGGCGCGGGTGGGCGCCGGCTCCTGCCGCCCGGCCGCGCTCCCCAGGCCCTGCTCTCCTGGGAGGGGCCCCAGATGTCCGACCCTGCCCCCGCGGCTTCGGCACGTCCCCCTACCCCGCCCGGGTGCGGGTCAGCAGGCGTCCAGAACCAGCAAGGGCCCGGACACACGAATGGGAGGTGGGCTTGGTGTGCGTGCAGTGGGTGGCTCGGGGGCGGAGTCGCGAGGCAGGCGTAGGGGGCTGGGGCAGCAGTGGTCGCAGGCTCCCAGCGCGTACGGACCGCCGGGCCCCCGCCGGGGGTGAGGCCTGCCCGGCCTTTCGGGGGGAGCTGACTGTTGCCGCCCGCGCCGGGCTCCTCTCCGCGCGACCACCGGTCGGCTCAGAGAATGCAAAGCCCGGGCAGGGAGAGGGTGGCCCCACAAGAGCCCCTCGGGGTGCGTGGAGAGCGTTCCCCCTAACCTACTCAGCGACCCAGGGCTGGGTGGGTCCCACCGTCCATGCCCCGCCCGGTGCAGGCCCCCCAGACCCCAGAGACTCCGGGGAGGGCGCTGCTCCCTGTCCCTCTCGCGGTCTTTGGCCCATCCGGGCAGGCCTCCTGGGCTCCTGCTCCCCCCTCTGTGCCCTCCCCCCACTCCGGAAGGTCTCCAGGAGGCTGGGAGGCTCTATGGGCCTGTCCCTCAACCCGCAGTGTCCCTCAACCCGCCTCCCTTCTCAGTCTGTCCTTCCTGACCCCCTGATCCTTTGACAGTTATTAGCAGAGCTTTGTTCACAGGAGGCGTGTCCTGGAATGGGGCAGGGGAGGAAGGAAGGGGGCCGGCGGGGGTGGGGGGGTCCAGGCAGAGGGAAGGGGATCAGAATGTCTCTGTAACAAGTTTTGTATTGATTACATGTTCAAATATCAGAGTAAGTATGGTAGCAAAACTAGTTTTGGCTATTAGACAATTTGCAATTGTATACAGGACACATTGTATTTCTTTCAAGTTGTGCTGGTCTGGACACTCCCTGGGGAGCACAGTGGTCAAGCCCTATGGCCAGGCAGGAAGGACGGGGAGGGCGGCCTAGCCTGGCAGCTGCGGCCCCAGTGAAGATTGGGGCGGGTGGCACCAGCAGCCTGGGCTGAGCAGGCTGGGGGCCTGTGCCCCAGAATTGGAAGCACCCCTCTTTCTCAGGCACAGGAAAGGAGATCCCCTTTCCACTTCCAACCACCACAGAAAGGTAAGAGTCAAGGTCAGGAGGCATGGCCTGGCCCAGCAGCTGGGGAGGCCACCGGAAGGGGGTCTGCAACCAATAGCATTTGGGACTAGGAGTAGAGTGGGAGAGAAGGGGTGGCTAGCACACACACGTTCCCACAACACCACATTCTACCAGGCCCCGAAGGTGTTTCACTCCACAGCACTACTCCATGAATAAGCTGGTACATGACTCACAATGCCCAAGAAGTGGAGTCAACACAGATGTCAACAGAGTAATGAAGTGAACAGGTAAGTGGTGGAGGCCAGCCGTGAACAGGAGCAGAACACACTGCACACATTACCTCGTGGGGAGGAGCCTGGGTGAGAGGGGCCAGATACGAAAGGCCACACAGTGTCTGATCCCCCTGATGGGAATGTGCAGGGCAGGGAGACCCACAGACGGGGCTGTGGGTGGGGAGTAGGAGAAACAAGTGGGTCCAGGGTCTCTTGTTAGGATGCTGAAGTGTTCTGGAATTAGACCATTGTTATGGATGCATAACTTGGTGAGTTAAAGTGTGTGCTTTAAAATGGTAGCTTTTGTAATGTGTATTATATCTCAACACTGAAAACGTGAGATGGCACGTGGGGATGGCCGACTTAGGGCAGCCCAGGAGATGTGGAGGCAAGGGGGTGCAGTGGGCCGGCGCCAGCTGTGCCCTACTGAGTCCGTTCACGGAAGCCAAGCATCAAGCACCCGTCTTCCGCAGAGAGAAAGTTTTATTGCGAGGCAGCTGAGCAAGGAGACAGGAAACTAGCTCAAATCTCTCTCCCTGAGTTCAGTAGGAATACAGAAGGTTTATGCACATTCAGCAGGGGCTGGTGTCCTAACGAGGCTGGTCCTGTGGAGCCTGTTAAGTCACTACATTCACTGCTTGTTCAAAAAAGGTGGCTGAACCGCACCCCCCAGCTGCAGAGATTTTAGGATGGTCGGTAACCTGAGGCCATCTGAAGGGTTCTGGGCACAGCTGCAGCTTCCCTCAGCTCCCTGAATTCCGGCTGGCTCTGAAAAACAAATTTGACACATTTTGTTACCATTTTTTTGGTGTCCTCAGTTACAGTTTCAGGAGGAAGTCGTCTGGGAGCCAAGCAGGCTGCACCCTTTGGGGCTTTGTGCGTCCTAACAGAGCCAGAAAGACTGCCCCCTGGGGTCAGGACGGGGGTCTGTGCCCGCTGGATCTCCTCCGCCCCACACCTCTTGCCCTGAGCCAGCACCCCCCCACCCCCCACCCCCCGCTTGACCAGCCAGTCTGCTGCGTGTCCTGGATGACCACTCCCTCCTGAACTTGGTCATCACCCATCCTGGATGTGGGGCTGCTCCATTCCCTCCCTTGTCCTGCCTCCAGCTGAGGCTGGACTGGATGACGGGCCACTGCCGCCAGAGCCTCAGTCGGGAAAGCTGTAGGCGTTTCTTGGCTGTAGTGAGACCCCACTGGCCTGCAGGGTACCCAGATCTGGGCCCACCCAATCTCCAGTGACCCCTCTCCTTCCTGTGCCCCTTACTCCCAGGACTCCTGCCACAGCCACACCAAGGGCTCTGTACCCAGGCCCACCTGCTTCCAGAGCCTGGGTTGGGCCTCTGAGTTAGGGCCCCACTGGGTCTCAGCCTGTCCCAGCAGTCCCCTGGAAGGCGCATGTCCCAGCTCTCAGACCCCACCTGGCTGGGCTCCATGAGGTGGACGAGGCATCTGTGGATAAAATGAAAGGTCCTGCGGTCAGGATTCTCACCTGGCCCCGGTCAGCTAGCTCACTACCCACGTGTGGGCAATATGTCGTTACTGACTCTATATAAAGAGCTCTGCCCAGTGCTCTGGGTGACGCAATGGCACGACTACAGGGCCCCAGGAGAGCAGAGCAGACGCCCAGAGTGTTGGGGACTGCCTTTGTCTTCTCACATGTTTGTAGGCAGAATGGGAAAGCACCTTCCCCCATGTCTGAATGCAGCATGGGAAAGCACAAGCTAGAGAACAACCGGTGCAGTCCTTGGAAGTTACCTGTCCACAAAAACATATCTTGTCCTCGAAGACGAGCCAAGACTCCTCACTCTGAAAATAGGGAGACCTTGAAGATGTGTGGAAACACCGCCCCTGCTTCTGGCTATGCCCTTCCCCCACTTGCCAATGTGGCAGGAACGGAGAACAGAGAACATTCTGTTTACACATTCCATGAGCAACTAACAGGAGCCCTGCTGTAGCTTGATTGGTAGGGCATGGGACTGTCAACCTCAGAGTTGTGAGTTCAAGCCCAACTAAGAGTGGCAACAGGAAGCAGTTGCACAGGCTGCTGGCTGGCGACGCACTGGACCATCAGCTCTTTCTGTCTTTATTTTCTTCGCCCCCCTTCCGCACTTCAGGACCTGCTCAACTAGGCGCGGCTGGACCGCGACACCAGAGGACGGCTGTGTGGGCAGAGAGGCCCACAGGAAGAGACCAGCTTGCTGTGTACAGACTTGCTCTGAGTGGATGGGGTTTTAGTGATTCACCTGCCACCGTGGAAATAACCCTTTCACCCCAAGAGCGTTCTATTATCATTTCTCTGGCCACACTGAATCCATATTGAACTTGCCTAGGGCTGAAACCCGTTGGCAAGACAGCATCTGTGTGTCCAGCCCAGCATGGCCAACCTGCCAAGCACCAGACATGTTTGGGGACAGAGGGAGGAAGAACCGAGCTCCGGTCAGCTCCATGCATGACAGTCTCCTCCTGCCATGACTGCCAGGGCTCAGCTATGCCCATACCCACACCCAGCTCCAGGCCGTGGAAGGCCTCAGGCCAGCTGCAGCCCCCATTCTCCTGGGCTGGGGCCTGCCCCCGCCACACCCTGGCAGGAGGCCTGTACTTCAAAGTCTTCTGAGATGGCAGAAGGGAAGCCCACCAGGTGAGGGCAGGTGGACAGGGGCCTCCCCAGGGGTCAGGGTCAGAAATCGCACCAGGCACCCTGCTCCCCTCTGAGGTGTGCCCCAGCACAGAGAGCCTCGGGCAGGCCCCCACCCCTGGACCTCCCCTTGGGGAATCGTCTCCGAGGATTCAAAGTCATCCACTGCCCCCCGCCAAGGTGTCCTGTGGGCCTCTTGGCCCGCGTGTAGGGTGGAACCAGGAAGAGGGATGGGCCCAGGGCTAGCCTTGAGGTCAGAGGGCAAGAAGAAGGCAAGGGGTTCCTTTTAAATGGGCCCCAGTGCCGTCCTGACACACCCTGGGCGGTGCGGTATCCAACCGGACTGTTCACACCTTAGGCCAGCAGCAGGCAGGAACCCCACAGTGGGCTGCTTGCCCTGGTCAAGGTCAAGTCTGGATTCCATTTTAGCAAAGCCGAAGAGAAAGGGCTGAGGACACCCACTAGCCCTGGCAACAGGCTGAGTGCAGCCCTGCTCAAGAGTCTGACCAGTCAGCGCCCTCCAGGAGGCCCAGTGCCCACCACTCAGTGGCGTTTCTGCCCCTTAGCCAACACCAGTGAAAGGGGAAGCCCTCCATTTGCTGCAAACCAGCACACGGTGCCCACAAGGATATTCTGCAGGGCCCAGCTGGACACAAGTGTGTGCAGGCTCGGGGGGCACCCCTCCCTGGGGCCCCTAAAGGCTGGGGCAGCTCTGCAGTCCAGGCAAGCTGGGTCCTGTGCCCTCTCTGGGCTCAGATTCTCCCTAAGGGAGGACGTGTCCTCAGACTCGGCCTGGCGCCGACTCTCCCCAGCCATTCCACTGGGCAGACAGGAGTCCCTGTCTCCTGCCCCAAGTGGGGGGCAGAGGCACCCAAACAACCCCCTCTGCTCCCTGAGCGCCGCCCCCCCCCCACTGACTTGCCTTCAGGAGTCAAAGGACAGGTGTCTCCAGCTTGCTCCTGTGACCTCAGCCAGGTGCTTCCACCTGCCTGGCAGCGTTCAGGAAGCAGCAGGCACTCAGGGCTCCTCACCGGCCCTCACTGCTCAGGGCTGATCCCAGAGGATGTCTTTCTTGCAAACCAAGAACAATGGCTCACACAGAAGACAGAAATTCTGCCATGGAGCCTGTTTTGTGCACACTCATGGTTGGAACTGATGGGGAACCACAGAAACTTTATGTCCCTGCGAACTGGTCTCCAAGGGGCAGCTGCCAAAAGGCCCCTGAAGGCAGCAGCCACTCACGTGATCCGAGCTGTAATTTGCTAATTTATGCAGACACATGATGTTCCTTTCTTCCTGTTTGACCCCTGAAATGGATTTGGAAACAGGGCTAGTTTTGAGCCATACCACCCAGGCTGGAGTGGGGACAGTGCCTAGGCAAGGGAGGCCCTCAGACTCAGAGTAGGGCAGAGGGATAGAGCAGCAGCTGGGCGCCCTCACCTGGATTGTTTTCCAGCCCAGGTGCTCTGTCTGTGTCCTTTTAATCTGACTGTCCGTCAGAGGCAGGGCTCTTGAGACACCTCAGCTGCCCAGCCCAGCCAGACCGGTAGCTGGACACTCAGGTACACAGCAGCACAGGAACTCAGAGCAAGAGCAAGTCTGGAGCAGCCCTCAGGGTCACTGCCCAGCAGGCCCCGAGACCAGGACCGCCACCACTGAGGTCAGAGCCATGCCGTGCCCACCTGGCTCCTCAGAGGGCACCTGGCTCCAGGGCTATGCAGGCCTGCAGCTCAGACTGCCCGCTGAGGCTGAGTCCCCATGCAGCTGGAGCAGCTGATGACACTGGCTGCTGTCCACAGCAGGGCGGCCTGGTCTTGCTCCACCTCAAAAGAAATTGTTCGTTTAATGTGAGCGAAATTACCTCCACCTGAGATGCATTGATGTGGCACATGGGCTGTATCCTCTCTGATCCTTAGGGGAGACTGAGGTCCTCAGCCAAACACCACTCCTGTGAGGCAGGGGACTGAGTGTGGTGGCCACTGGGCAGCCCGGAGCTGGAGGGCACACCTAGGCAGGTATGCAGACTCTGGTATGGCTTCATACCACAAGGGCACCATAACCCATAGGAGGGCATGTTTGTGCACAGACGGGGCTGACCCCAAGCCCGGGGTGAGCATCCGAAGCCTGGCTGGACAAGGCTGCATATGTTCGGCAGGCTTCATGTCATTACTGGGTGCATTACCACTGCCATACGATTGACTCCCACTTCAGCAAACCTTTGGCAGTTACAGGGCCATCCACATGCAGGCTGTGGCTGCACTCAGAAGTGTTTGGTGGCACTGGAGTGACTGCCAGGGGTCAGGTGAACTTGCAATGCCCACACTGGCTCCAGGCAATCCCTGCAGGCCTGGACCCTCCCAGCAGGATCTGGTGGCAGGAGACTGGAGGGTTCTTTCAAACAGGATGGTGCCAGCCTCTGAGCAGGTAGGGCCTCAGGACCTGGTAAGGCACAACAGAACCCCAGCCTGGCCTTCCGGGGGGCCACTGCCAGGAGAGCCCCCAGTGGGGGAGGGGCCTGACCTTGGGCCCCAGGAGCCACCAGAACCCTCCCTGTTGGAGGTGAGGAGGCTTTGGTGACGGTCTGCTGCACACAGTTCAGTGCTCCCCCGGAAGCCCAGCAGGCCAAGCTGAGGCCTCATACATGAGCCAGGCAGGAGCTGGGGACCTGGTTCATAAATCTCTTCCTGAAGCAGCCTGGCCTGGGCCCTGGGAGGTGGGGTGGGGGTTCTGTGGGAGGAAGGGCCTCTTGGTGCTGGGGTCAGGATGAGAAGGAACCCTGAGGAGCTCAGCAAGCCAGAGAGGACGGAAGAGGGCTTCTGAGAGGCCCCCAGGTCACTGGGAAGGCCACAGCCTGTGGGGTCCTCAGGCCCCCAGGAGCCTAGGGGTGTGTGGTCTGGGTCTGTGTGTCTGTGTGTAGTGTGTCTGTGGAGGGGGGAAAGCCACCACCAGCAGGGGCTTCCCAGTGCCCTGAACCCATGTCCTGGGACACTCAGCTGAAGGAAAAAGGAAGAGAAAGGGGTATCCTGGCTCCCTGCTGGCAGGTGAGGGAGGCCCAGGGGAAACCGAAGCAAGACATTCCTGCAGGAAGGACACAGCATGTGTGTGGGCGCCAGGCCAAGAAAGGGGGCCCACTCTGGGGGCCTCTCAGAAGCCCCCCACCTCTGCGCCACAGCTCAGGGGGAAGAGCAATCAAGTGGTCGGCCTATCCTTATTCCCATGAGGACAATCAGGTACTGGCTACCAAAGGGCTGCCAGCCACGGATGGGGCCTCGGCCTTCAGCCTAATGGGCACACCTGTCCTGCAGGCCCCGGCCTTCAGGACCAGGCAAAAGAGAGAGCTCAGGAGACGTGAAGGGCACCCGACAGCCCTGATGCGAGCCTCCTACTGAGCAATGCGCCTACAGCCACAGCCTCTAGATGCGAAGCGTGCAGGCCTGCCGGATGCAGCAAGTGAGGGCCAGCTCCTGGCAAACACATCCGGGCCTAGGGCTGTCTGATCTGCTGGCTGGCCACTCTGGTCCGACGGGTACAGTCTGGCCCAGCAAGGCTGGTGGGGGCCAGGATCTGGGGAGAGAGATCTCAGGTCCTGGGTGATGACCACATGGCACAGAACCAAGGAAAGTGCCGTGTCAGGGCAAGCAGACAGGGGAGGGCGCAGAACCAGCCCGCTCACCCACACCAGCTATGCACACCAGCACAAAAGCCCATGGACTCAGCATCTGGAGGGGTCCATCTTGGGTCCACGAAGGGAGAGAGGCTGGACGCGGGAAGGGGGTGTCCGGGCCTCGACCATTACCCACTTGGCCACAGTCAGATGTTCGGAGCCATTGAGAGGGCAACCGATCAGGGCCTGGATGTGAAGTCTGCCCCCGGGAAGTCTCTGGAGCCTGAGCCCAGCATGGGGGCGTGGTGAAGGCATCCTGGGGGAGGCACCAGCGGGGGGTGAGGTGCTGCAATGGGAGCGCAGGGGAAGGCAGGGTGGGCGGGGACATGGGATGCTCAGGACAGGGCGAGGATCCAGGGCTGGCTGGGGACAGCTGTCTCCTGGGCCGAGGGCAGATGAGCTGGGAGCTACCTGCACCTTGCAGAAGCTTCTGGAGTGGCTGTGTGCCCAAGTTTGAACAAATCAACTTATCTTCAAGGGCAAACCTCACAGTCGCGGAGTGCCTATGAATCTAGCAAACCATTGCAACGCTCCCTATGTCTAAAGCTACTCTAAAAACAAACATTTGTTATTAACATCAGGCTTCAGCATGGCACCACAAACTAATTTTCTTGGTTTTGTTCGACCTGGGAAGCTGGGTGGACACGCCCCTGACAAGTGGTTACCCGGCTTGCAGCACTGCCATCTGAGGCGCTCACTGGCTGTCCCAGATGGGGAGGGGCTGTGGTCTTGACCACGTGACTCAGTCACAGCCGGTGGCTCTAGCCGTCCCGAGCTCCCGACCGCAGGGCAGGAAATCCCCACATGCAGCCTGGGCTGGGGGCAAAGCCCCAAAGGACTGCTCTCTGGAGCCACTTCCTGACTTCCTGAAGGCCAGGCCCAAGTCTGTCCCTTCCAGGGTGCTGTTTCACGGCCTGGCCATACCCCCCCCCGAAGCCCCACAGGCGCTCAGTGACTGAATTAAGCCATTTTACACCCCACATTCTGCACTCTGGCAGGAGCTGGCGGTCTTGGGTGGAGAACAGATTTCCCAGGAACACCCTTGCAAACAGCAGCATCTCCATCTCTGCCGGCCAGGCCCTCAGCCCAGAGGGTGGAGGTGGGGGCTGTGGGATTCAAGCTGAGCCCCAAGGACACTCCTCTCCTCGACACACTAGCTCGACTCCCGGGGAAGGACCTTCACCCCCACACCTTCCAGGTGGGCCAGCCCAGCCTCTGAGGCCCGAGGTCCCATCCAGGATTGCTGGGGCGGAGGTCTTGGTGGCACTGTTCCCCAAAGCTGTCCGATTTTTCTCTCTCCTTCCCCTTCTCATTCTTTCGACAAACACCCAAACCGAAAGAAACAACCAGCAGAACCAGGGAGGGCTACCCGGCCGCCTTCAGGCCCCAGGGCGGCAGGCCCGAGGGGGCGGGGCGGGGCTTCCCGAGAGTGTAGGCCCCGCCCCCGCCCGCGGCTTCAGTCCTGTCGGAACGGAGTTGGGACGCGGAGGGAGGGGCGCAGGGTGGGCTTTAAAGGGGCAGAGCGCGGGGCCGGGGGGCGGCCTGGAGGAGGCGGGGACATTCGGGGTGGGCGGGGCCATGGGTGGGGGAGGGTCGGGGAACGCCGAGCGCGGAGACCGGGGAGGGTCAGTGCGCGGGGAGGGGGAGTGGGGAAGGGCCAGGGATGGGCGGGTTGGAGAGCGGGGAGGTGGGGAGGCCGGGGAGGGCGCGAGGCCAGCAGGAGGCGGGGAGGCTGGGCGCTGCGCTCGCCTGGCCCGCCGCCCTCCCCGCGGAATCGTGCGCAGGCGGGGCGGCCGCGGGGTCGCCCGTTGAGTGGCGCGGCCATTGTGCGGGCGCTGTGAGCGGCGACACGCTCGCAGCCCGCTCCCCGGTGACGTCTCAAAGGGCCTTTGACGGGGAGCCCGGGCAGGACGGCTCACCTGCAGAGACGTTCTATAGCGCCTTTGAAAGCGCAGCAGCTGCCAGGGGCTGTCAGCCGGGCACCTAGGGGGACAAAGAATGGGGACCGGGCCCTTTCCGTGAGAGGCCACTTGGAAACAGCAGGCATGTGCCAAGCCCGCAGACGGGGAAAGAAAAGTGTCTTCATCGGCGACCAGCGTGTGAAGGGGGCCCTTTCTCAGCCTCGGCGCCCTCATGTGCATGACAAAGGGGCCGCGGGCGCGGGCCGCGAGGCCAACAGTCCTGGCAGGGCGGCCTGCGCCCGAGTGTGGCCACGCCGCGGCGGCGGAGCCGGACGCCGGTGCCCGCCGAGACGCGGCCTCTCCAGCGCTTCTGGCCGCGCGCTCCGCCGGGGAGCCGAGGGCGGCGGGTTCCGGCGCTCCCTGGGAGACTGGAGGCCGGGCGCTGCTAGAGGCGCCTCTGGACCCAGGGCCCGACCCCGCCGGCGAGGCTCCAGCGCCACCACCCCGGTGTGGCCGAAGCCAGAACTGCCTGTTGCAGAGCCACAGGAGATGTGAGACGTGGGAGCCCCGTGGCCACGCGGTCGCTGAAGCAGGGAGCCTGGTTGTCCGGCTGTGCTGCAGGCCCGGAGGGCTGAGCGCTCTTCTGCGACGCCTCCTGCGCCTGCGGGCGGGGAAGACGCCAGCTCACGCACCGCAGGCAGAAGAGGGGCAGGAGGGCTGGCCTGGCGGGCTTCTGGGGGCAGAGCCAGGCAATTTAAATGCCCCTCACCGAAGGGACAGGCCCCGGGGAGGGAACCTGCGAGTGCTCGCCTCCCAGGATCTGGGACCCCGCTGCAGCCTGACCCCCAGGCAGGCTCTCTGCCCTCCTCCATGCCCACCCCACCCTTGTCAGGTGGCCTGCCCTCCACAGCCCTGTGGATGCTGGGGGAGCGCGGACCAGACTGCTTCCCGGGGCTCCACGCACTTCACTGCAGAAGCTTGGGAAGCATTGTCCTCCTGGGCCATGTGGAGCGGCAGACCACGCAGCCCAGCCCTGGCAGGGTGAGGGGGACATGCCATCCTGGGTAACACAGCAAGAGCCTCAGTCCCGGAACTTTCAGGCCTGGCGTGTCCTCAGCTTTTGCCTCAGCCCCTCTGCGAACCTTGGCTGAGGTCCTACCCCTGCCCCCCCCGCCCCTTGGGGCACAGGGAGTCGGGCCTCCACCTGTACAGCTGCCGGGCATCTGGGGCTCCTCACTGCCAGCTCTGGGTTGGACAGGCGCCTCCTGGGTTTTCTGCGAGCTCCAGAGACGGTCCAGTGACTTGGCCCAGGGATGACAGCTTAGCGGGCACACAGAGTGGGACCCTGGATCAGGCTTGGAGGCAAAGGAGTGGAGGACAGTCTAGATCCTGGATCCCAGACAAGACCCAGGCCAAGGTCGGTCCAGCACACGGTGGCTCTGCCAGCTGCACAGGGGCCACACACACGAGCTGGGTCTGGATGTTGGGTGGCCACCCCAGCCTAAACTCCACACAGGCAGGAGCTTCCCTCCATGCTGGCCCAGCAGTGAGCTCCCCCACTATGTCCTGTCACCCCATCTTATCTGGGGTCTGGGAGCACCACAGTGTGTGGGACCACAGACCCATCCTGATTGCAGCCAGGGCCCAGGTACCTGCCCAGCACCCCCTCCTCAGGACTGGGGAGGAAGTTCAGCGGTCAGACCGGCTGCCAAAATGTCAGGATGTTGGCTCAGCTGTTCAGTCTTAAACGGACCTTGAGGCCGATTAAATTTGTTGATTGCCCTCTATCTTAGATTGTTTCAAACATAACAATCCTACTGCCTATGGTCTTTGATCAAGAAGAGGAGTCCGCAGGCTCCTGTCAGACCCTTAGTGGGCCCCTGCGTCCCTGCTGAGCTGACTGCGGCTGCCCATCTCCCAAGGTGCGTCAGGCCTCAGCGTCCCCCAGGCCACACGAGCTGCCTGTACATGGAGTGATCTGTTAGGCAGCAACAGGTCACCAGAACAGCTGCTGATCATGGACTGGAGCTCCAAGCGCCCGTTGGAAGCCTCATGCCCAACTCTGCATCCTCACTGCATATTTAGAACAAAACTCAAAGTCCTGTTTGTGGTTCTCATGACCCTGTGACCCTGTTTCCCCCTGGCCTCGGACTTGCCGCTGTTGCCACGACACTCCTGGCATTAGAGTCTCTGCTCGGTGTCACCCTTGGGGTTTCCCTGACTGCATCACCCACATCCCTCTCAGGTCTCATTTGCCCTGGTGGCTTGAGGGCTGCTGGGGATGCGGTTCCCAGCCCTAACATTCCCCCAGGGTAGGAGTGCACTGCTGTGACTGGCTGCCCCTCATTTCCTCTTTCCCTGGAGAGGTTAAGGCTTGTCCACTGGCCCTGTGAAGGGCGGACAGGGCCCATGTGGCCCAACGCCTTCCTTTTGACCGGCCATGGGCTGGGGTGGTGAGATGTCCCATTCTGGGGCTGGCCTATTTGGCTCTCACACTGCTTTGCTGCCCAGCTTGGTCATTCTCAGGAACGGAAGCGATCCTCTTGGAGACACTACTACTTTCCATGTACTTCCCGAGGCAGGATCTGTGTTCAGTGTGAATGAAAATGCCAGAACAACCCTGAAGGTCCCAATATTTCCCATGTGGTCCTGACCCACCAGCCAAGGTGGCTGAGGGGGCCCAGCTTCAGTTTCTTTAGGGCACGGGCCTCAGCCAGGCTGGTTGATGTTGCCTTTGTGCATGACCTTGGCCGGGCTGGGGACACACCTGCCTGTCATCTAGATGCCTGTGTGCGCTGGTCCTGGGCCCAGGCCCCTAGGGCCCCAACGGGCTCAGGGCGGCTGGGAGGGGGCCACTCCCCTGGCCTGTGGCCATGGTCAGGTTTGGATTGGCTGGAGGCTACTGTGTGTGGCCTTCTTCCCCACCAGCAGGGATCTGAGGCCCTGCAGGATTAGGATGGATTACGAGCTCCAGAATTCTCCATAGTAGCAGCTCAGAGGGACGAGCAGCCCACCCATCCTGGCTGGAGTGGTTCCTGCTGCAAGGTTGGGCCAGCTGGGAGGGTGGGGGTCACCTTCTCTGTGGGCAGAGGGCCTCTGTCTACAGAACACAGACTCAGTGGCCTGCTGAACCCAATGGCCACACCCTTCCTTCCCTCTGAGCAACAGGACCCAGAATACTGGTTCTTCTCCCTGAGGCCACCTGCTGCTGTTTCTGGCCTCTGGGCCTGGCTGACCAAGTGGGTTGGAAAGAAGTAGGCAGGGTCCTTATTGACCATGACAAATGGACTTCTTTGAAAGTTTGCTTCAGCTTATGTGGGGGCAGACCAAGTAGGAAACTGAGGCCCAGAAAGGTTCAGACACCAAGTCAGCTGGCACAGCCCCTCAGAGGAGCCAGGACTAGAGCCACATAGACGACTCCCAGTCTGGCTCCCCAGAACTCCCCTGCTACCTGCCCCAAGTCCCTCTGTGACCAGTGCTCAGCATAGCTGGCTGCCTTGGGCCAGCCCTGAGCTCCCGGAGGCCAGGTGGACAGAGGCATTGCAGTCCTGGGTGAAGCAGGGAGTGGAGCTCAGGGTGGGTGGGGGCATGCGATGTGGGCACCCTTTCCAACTCCAACTCCAACTCGTGTCCACAGGCCTCGGCAGCCAGAACCTTCCACCTGTCTGAACGGGAGGGGCTGGCCAGTTGCCTTGACCGCAGGCCTGGGCCAGCGGGTGGGTGGGCAGCTTCATGCAGGGGCTCCCACAGTCCTCCACTGTCAGGCTGATGTTGCTTATCATGGAGAGCTCTTTCCTTGGGAGGGAGAAAGAAGGAAACAGAACCTTTGAAGGAAATGAAAGTTGAGGCCACATGGGTTTTGGAGAGTTGAGTACTAGCCGTAAGGAGGATTCGCAAGGGGATAGCTTAGTTCCCAGGCTAGGGGCTGTGGCTCTTCCACAGTAGAATTCTGGGGGTGGCACTCTCTTCACGTGTATTACCCTGCTGCTCACGTGTATTACCCTGCTGGCCGCCTGCTGGGGCTGTGGCCCTTCAACACCCCTCGTTGTCCTGAGATCCCTCCCCTGAGATTTGCAGGCCTGCCTTAAACCACTTTCACCTCTGGGCTCCTGGAAACCACAGGTGTGAGGTTCTGGAACCAGAGCCTCAGCTCCAGATTCCAGGCCAAGTAGGAAATGACCCATGGTCCCTCTGGACTCTATGTGAAGATCTGAGCCTACTGCTTTTGGTGGTCCTAGTACCCAGCCAGTCTGCAGCAGAGAGAGGCAAAGCCCTGAGCACCCCCCACACCCAGCCTGGCTGGCAGAGTCCTCACAGAACACCAGCAAGACCATGGTCACCCACAGGCCCTGGCCCTTGCAAACATCTGGAGCTGAGTGTTGGGTCAGCCTGAAAGATGGGAGAAAACCATCACAAATGTCAGGCACTTTCTGCATGGCTCAGAAATCTATTAAATGTTCGTGAGCCTGTATCTCAGAAATGGCTAAGAAACTTATCTGCAGTCTGTCCAAAACAACACGCTCTTCTGTACTGGGACACTTACTGCAGCGAAGACAATGTTTGGCCAAGCAAGGGGCCAAGTCTCAGGTGACCACGGTTCTCCTGGGGTCTCCTGGGCAGGCTGGCCCAGCTGGTCTCCTCAGGAAGGGACTGGTCGCCTGGGCCCCTTGCACAGCACCCACACCCAGGGGCACAGCGGTGCAGGGAGCCTGGTCCAGGGTCCCTGTGCCACCTGGGAAGCCTGCCACTCTGAAGCCCTAACCACAAGGGGAGGAGCACGTTACTCTGATCCCAACAGGCAGGAGTGCTCTGGAAAATGGGGCAGGGGGCCGAAGAAAGGCATTTGCTGTTTTACTTTGAAGCCTTCTCATTCCTGGGTGTCCTGGCCATGTTGGGTCCCTCTGAGGTCTGAGCTACTTGGGGTCTTCCTGGGAAGAGGCTGCCCTCAGCCTCTGCAAGGATGTGCTGGGCCCTCCGGACAAAGGAAATCAATTCTGGGCTCTCCCAGCAGCTAAGTGGCTGCACTGGCCCGAAGCGATTTTCACAGCCGGAAAGCGCAATTGTATTTTCCAGCTCATTAGGCAGTGGACAAAAGCCCCCGGCCCCTGGCCAAGCGGGTGCCTCTGCTGGGGCGCCTCTGCTCCAGAGCCCACAGATCCCTCCCCGCCTGCAGACCAGCCGCCCATTGTCCCCGAAATGTACCGCCTGTTTATTCATGCCCTTTAAACACTCCTCCAGCATTGTGGGGCTGCCTGGGAGAATCTTGCCTCAGCCAACCATGCCTCAGCCATGATTAAAGGGGCTGGGTGCCTTGGGCAGAAGCTCCCTAGTAAAGGTGCCCAGGGTGCCTGCAGGCCCTGGCCATGTGGGAGGGCTGGGGGAGTTGGGGGCTGGTGCGTGGTCTGGACAGCTGGGATGAGGGAGGAGAAGGGCTTTGGGAGGGGGAACAGGTGGCTCTATCCAAATGCAACCCTCCAACTTCTCAAGGGTGGGGTCCAGGCCCAGAAGGTCCCTTCTGTCTCTCCCTCGGGTGGAGTTTAGGGTGTCAGCCTTTCCCACCTAGGCTACTAAGCTGGCGCCCCTCCAGGGCTCACTCCATCCAAGGTCCTTGTGAGCTCATGAGAGGTCCCTTCAGTAGTGAGACAGGTGGGAGGGAGCCCCAGAAGGCTGCCCAGGCTGGGCCAGGACAGCCAACACCAGCTCACATTCCCTCCTGACAGGCAGCCGCCCATCCCCACCCAGATTACCCTCACCTCGGGAGGTGGGTATGTCCTTGTTCCTGGCCACAGGGGAGGGCCCTGCCAGGTCCCAGGAGGTCAGAGAGGCCGTGAACCAGCGAGGTCTGTCTTGTGCCTCCCCCCATCCTCCCAGGGGTGGGGGTGCCTCAGGACTCCTGGCCGGGACCCCAAGCTCGAGGCTGTCACTTCCTCTACCCTGGCCCCGGGTGGCACCATTCGTCTTCCAGGTGCCAAGCCCACACTTCCATGGACTTCCCAGAGTCCTCGGGGTGGGCCTACAGGTGATGCAGGTGAGATGGGCCCCCCATAGGCAGACCCGCGACCCCAGCCATGGCCCGCAGCTCTGGGACCGCCTTCCTTTCCCAGTGCCCTGCTCTCCCCTCACTCCCCACACTCAGGCCACAAGGTTCCATTCTGTGGTGGATTGCATTTTCCAGAAATGGCCACACGTGCTCTTCTGTCCCCTAAACTGTGGGTGAGCCTTTTTAACGCCCAGAAGAATGCATGTGCAGACATGCCATGGGCTTCTGAGGCTCCCCCACCCCCACCCCCGTTTTAAGACCCCTCCCTGTGTCCCATGGCCCCGCCCCCGAACCACGAGGCCCCTCCCCTGAGTCCGAGGCCCCGCCCCGAGTCCAAGGCTTCCCTCCCACTCCTTTGAGTCCCCAGGACCCTCCACTCTGAGTCCGGAAGCTCCTCGCTCCCCTGGGTCCTCCCCCTTAGGCCTGAGGCCCCTCTTTCCTGAGCGCCCGTGGCCTTGGCCTCTGCCCTCAACGTCCCTCTCTGTTCCAGCTGCCCCTTTCCTCCTCCCAAGCCAAGGCCTGTACCAAGGCTGCCCTCCGTGGCTGGGCTCCCCCGGGAGCGCGCTGCCTTGCCGGCCTCCTGTGGTTTCCGCTCTGCGGTGCAGGTGAGAAGCAGGAGGGTCACCCCAGGGAAATTTCCCATGACGTCTGGTGACGGCAAGGCAGAGATTTCACAAGCCCTTGTGCCCCAGCTGGGTGGTGGTCAGCCCTCGCTGAGCACGGCTCCACACCCACCTGGAGGGCTTGCAAGGAAGACTTGAAAGGACCGCCTGCTTCCAAATAACCCAGAACCCAGAACAAAGCTCAAAGACGTTTTTAGGAGCATGAAACTGTCCAGCACTCAAGTAAATTCATGAAGTAAAACATCGATCAAAAATTTCCAAGAAGCAAAGAAATGGGAAAATATGACCCATAATGGAAAGTAAAAATTCCATCAGAATTGACCAAGAGCATACTTCTCTCCACCCCTGAGGATGCAGATGCACTAAAGCCAGTTTCAGATGTAAGTCATCTCTAATGTGATTTTGTTTCTATGGAAAAATTCATTAGAAGTCATCCTTTCAGAAGAAACTAAGAATAGAAGGGGGACCCATCTGTGGTAGCCATTTCTCTGATTGTTGGAAGAATAACTCTCAGTATTTGAAAATCACAGAATGCTGATGCAAGGACAATCTAACAGGCTTACTGTTTATAAAGTACCTGAGTTTGGCCCTTATTTGAATGGATGGTTATTGCTGTTCTTCGGCTGGCAAAAACTGTAATTTTCATGGGTATGTCAATGCTTTGGAGGCATTGTGCCAAACTGTTCTGTTGGGACATCCATTTTGGACCAAATACAAACAGATTTTTTCCTTATGCCAAATTCTGTACCTTAGTCCCTAAGATTACATTGCTTTACTCTTAACGTGGATTAAATGGCTGTTAGCTGATAAATTTTGTATGGAACACATTAAGAACATGCATTTTGTTATATTTCTTGCTCTTTTCTACACTTCTTAAGTATTGATAGCCACAAACTGTCTTCAGTAATGGATAAAAATCTATCATAGTCTTACCTGTGATCAGGGCTGGCTATGCAATATGCCAGGCCCAGTGCAAAGTGAAAATGTGGGACCCCTGTTCAAAAAGCAGGAAAAGAAGTGTGGTTACAGGTACTAATGTAATAGTGATGGTGGTGATGAATGAGTGACTACATGAACTTAAAATTGCAAACATAATATTTTTGGTTTCATAATTTCATATAATACAATAAATAATAATAGTTTATTGATGTGATATCTTAATTATCATATTTTTCTGGCTCACTTGTCTACTAATTCATCGAGATTTGTCCCTCCCATTTAATTTTCATTTTCAATAGATAAGAAATTCATTTCATGCGGTTTCTTTTTCAGTAGAAAGCAACAGTCACTCTAGGCAAATGCAAGATTACAAATACATTTTGATCATTTTCATTGGAAAAGAACTTTCTGCTGATGCAACTATTAAGAACATTTAAAATGTTAGGCTAAGACAACACTAAGATAAATTTTTAATAAATTGTTTTGAAATGTAAAAAAAAAAAGAATTGACCAAGAACACCAGAGATGATGAACTTAGCAAAAACAATTATAACAATATTCCATTGTTTAAAAAGTTAAGTGGAAACATGGAAGATAAAAGAAAAGCCCAAATGGAACCTCTAGGGGTGAAAACTACAATGTCTGAGATGAAAAACTCACTGAATAAGATTAATGGCAGAATAGACATACAGAAGAAAAGATTAGTGAACTTGAAGACAAAGTTGCAGCACCTACCCAAAATAAAACTCAGAGAAAACATAATCTTTTTTTTTTTTGAGAGGGCATCTCTCATATTTATTGATCAAATGGTTGTTAACAACAATAAAATTCTGTATAGGGGACTCAATGCTCAATGTATAATCATTAATCCACCCCAAGCCTAATTCTCGTCAGTCTCCAATCTTCTGAAGCATAACGAACAAGTTCTT